TTAGCTGCTGCTATGTTACATTTTTCACCAAAAATTCCATTAGTACTAAGAAATCTTTAAAACAAGTATTGCACGTAATGTTGATTTTGAAGGTAGGAATTTGATGCTGGGAGACAGAGTAGGATGTTAATGCACTTTTCCTGCACATTCCTGGCTCAGTGTATCACTTACTGAATGTCTTTTGGTTTTGTTTTCATTTGGTTGCTTTTTCAATTCACCTTAACCTACACTGTCTTTAGCATGTGCCACGGAATCTTCTCTGGCTAGCAAAAAATATTGTACCTGTGGATAGGGAATCTGCCATGGACAGTTCGGCTCTAGCCTTTTTAAAAGTTGGAATTTACTGTCTTGCTCAGTGAATATATTCAATATTGAATTGCTGATTTAATTTATTATTTCAGTTTTCTAGCTGTGCTAAATAGCATGTCCTGGTCACGCATTCACACTTCTTGAAAAATAAGTTTAAATACAAAATGATTTTTTTCTTGTTAATAAATGGAGGCTATGATACTTCCCTCCACAGAAAGTGCAGCAGTCTTAAAAGTTGTTGGTTTGATATAAAATAAACTTCTAGTGGGATTATGATGAGAAAACAAAGTCCTGAGTACTTTGTGAGCATATAGGACTCACACAATTTGAAAGCAACTATTCTGCATTGTAAACTGTTTTCTCCTTTACAGAATGTGGCCTCCTTTTGCTCTGATGCAGAAAGTAAATTAATGAATCTGCTACGAAAAAATCTCTTGCTTACACCCAGTTTAACTAAAAGATGTGGCTTGGAATGCCCCTCTCCTTTCTGCAACTCAGGTCTTTATGCAGAGGATAAAAGTTTGGTAAGCTTCTGGTAATTAATACTGTGTTTACAGACAGTACATACAGTAAGGATATAAGCAAGTTTTACACTGATAGCTGTGGGGAATGGTCTCACTTTTCAGTCTGCTCCATACATTATCTTCAGGACAATGCAAGATGATCAGCTTTCTCTGTGCTTATACCCCAGGAGGAACTGTAGGTTATTCTTCCTCCAGGTGGTACATAAAAACCTCCCCCTATGGCCTGTGTTTTCACATCACACTTTAAATATTCAGAATTTTGTATGAGTAAAATGAGTCATTCTTTCCATATGGATGGTTTATCGCTTCCTTGGTCCCACTGTGAAGATTATCTGACAGCGATGTCACAGGAGGGAAAAATCTTGATCTTTACTTTTTTTTTTTCATAGCATTCTGCAGTTCCTATGTTTGCTTAGAGAATTTACCTCCTGGTCATCTTTTCCTAGGTATCTTTCACTATTTCTAGGATTAAAAGGGGAGAGGTATCACTTAGTAAATATTTACGTTTTATGTAAGTCTTTACAAAGATAGAGTTAAATAGTACTAGAGTTTCCCATGACGGCTGCTGGTGACAAGTTGTTCATGATGTGAGTACTGAGCGCAGTCAGAACAAATATCTTCCTTGCCACTAGTTGCGAGGAAGGTGGAAACACCCCAGTGTGGTATCAATTAGTAGGGACTAAATTTAAGCTTATAAAGCATTCTTCTCTAATTCAGAGGGAGTGCTACCTAATTATGAAGGTTTTGTTTATATCTGTTTATTAAATATGTTAACAGGCTTAAAACAGATGTTAAAGGTTCTCAAGCATAAGTTTGAATGATTTGTTGTGCAGTGTCTATCCTGTATTGTTATCCTCAAGGGTTTTGGTCTAAATTCTATCCCTTTCTTTCTTCAAATCTTTTTCCTTGTTTTCTCTGCTTAACAACCGGTTGAGGATATATCCAATGCCGTAGAAGACTTAACTCCTTTTTTATGAGTGCTTTGGTTTCCTACCACCTGGCAGGGGAAAATTCCCATACATTTAGCTTAGATCTCAGAAACAGAATGTAAGTGAACTGTGTTAATGTACATGTAAGCAGTGATTTATCAAGCATCGGTGCTTGAAAAATAGTATTGGGCACCATCAGAAGGTATCAAATGAAAGTTAAGTTTGACATGAATGATGACATAGAGGGGAAAACCTGGTAGAAAAATGCGATTTTTGTGGAAGTAATTGAGGAAGCTAATGAAATAGGACATTCTGTTCAACATAAAACTTTTTTTTTTTTAACTAGATCTCTTCTAAAACTGAAATAAAGCATCCAAGCCCTCTGTCAACTAGCACACCAAATATGAAATTTGTCACAAGAGGGTCAGCAAAAACACCTTCACCTGCTACAGTTAATGATGACCATCCCAAAAACAGCAAGAAGAGAAAAGCCATGGACTTCCTTAGTTGCATACCCGCCCCTCCACCACTGACACCAATGTATTCAGTAATTTCTCCATCTTTAAGAAGAGCATTTCAGCCACCACGAAGTTTGGGTTTACAGCGTAGCAGTTCATCAAAAGAAACAAAACAGAATATTGGTCATGTCGCCCCCTGTAAAAAATTGAGAGAAAATGTCCATCTTCCTGAGAACGACCTGGTTGCTGATGAAGAACTTGCAATGATTAATACACAAGCACTCATGCATAATTTACCAGAAGAAAAGAAGATTGAGTATGTAAATGAAAACAGCAATACAATAGCTACTAATTTATCTGACAATCTTTTACTCAAAAATAATTCCAGGCCTACTAGGCAAGCAAATAACTCATCAAAAAGCAGTTCTGAAGTAGCTGAGGCTCTTCAGAAGGATGGAGGAACCTGATGACTTGTTACCAGCCCACAGAATGATACAAAGACAAAAGCCCTGAAAATGCTACTAAATGCACATGTACAGTACTGTATATATTTCAAATTCAGGTTTTTTTTACACTTTGTACCTTAAATTCCAATTGTATTTAATAAAGCTGTATTATAAAAATAACAACATTTCATCTGCAAAATAATTTGGAGTTGAGTAATTATACATTTCTCACACAAACGTATTGTACAATAGCATCAGTGTGGCTGAAGGTCTGATGACATTTTTGAAACCATTGCTTTGATTCTGATGTATTGCTTTGATTCTGATGTATTGCTTTGATTCTGATGTATTCTTAAATTACAGCAGGATCTTTGTTTCAGTCTAAAGCAATCACTTTTGTTACAACAGTTCTTTGGCTGTCAGAACTGGCACAGGGCATAACAATTCTCTTAGGTTTATTGTTACCAAACATTACACTTTCATTCTGAAATACAGCTCTGTAATTGTGACACAGTTCTTGTACTTTTCCCTTGGAACTTTCCATATAGTGCTAAAATAGGTTTAGAGGACAGCTATTATTTGATTCATAGCAAAACGCCATACAAAGTTATTAATGATAGATCCTTGGTCAGCATTTCCAAGGAGCTACTCCTTAAAGAAGCACTCGGGGCCACAGTATCATGAAAGATAATCAGATATTTAATTTCATCACTTCTGCTGGGAGTGAGTCAGTACTTGAATTCATTACTAGAGAAGAGATTCAGAGCAGCCCTGCAGAGAAGGACTTGGGGGTGCTGGTGGATGAGAAAATGAACATGAGCCAGCTGCAGTGTGCGCTTGCAGCCCAGAAAGCCAACCATATCCTGGGCTGCATCAAAAGGAGTGTGACCAGCAGGTCAAAGGAGGTGATCCTGCCCCTCTAGTCTGCTTTTGTGAGACCTGACTTGTAGTACTGTGTGCAGTTCTGGTGTCCTCAACGTAAAAAGGACGTGGAACTGTTGGAACAAGTCCAGAGGAGGGCCACGAGGATGATCAGGGGACTGGAGCACCTCCCATATGAAGATAGGCTGAGAAAGCTGGGGCTGTTCAGCCTGGAGAAGGGAAGGCTGCGTGGAGACCTCATAGTAGCCTTCCAGTATCTGAAGGGGGCGTGTAGGGATGCTGGGGAGGGGCTCTTCATTAGGGACTGTAGTGGTAGGACAAGGGGTAATGGGTTAAAACTTAAACAGGGGAAGTTTAGATTGGATATAAGGAGGAAATTCTTTCCTGTTAGGGTGGTGAGGCACTGGAATAGGTTGCCCAGGGAGGTTGTGAATGCTCCATCCCTGGCAGTGTTCAAGGCCAGGTTGGACGAGGCCTTGGGTGATATGGTTTAGAGCAAGGTGTCCCTGCCCATGGCTGGGGGGTTGGAGTTTGATGATCTTAAGGTCCTTTCCAACCCTAACTATTCTATGATTCTATGATTACTTTGTTCTCATTAATTTAAACTTCTCAAAAGTGGAGTTTCTCTACTGGAGAGGGAAGCAGTCCTGCTTGACTGGCTGCCAACTCCACATTTTAGTTTGTTGTCAGCCTGCCCTTTGCCTGTTGTTTCCCACCACACAGAAGTCAAAGGAGGGAAGATGTTTCAAATCAAAGGCCATCCCCAGCTCCTACTCAACAACCTTTCAGGGGTCCTGTGCCACTTACTTGGCTCAAGTGCCAAGCTGGGAATGGCTCCTGTTGCCAAGCTGGACATTGTATTAGGACTGCGAGAATTGACACAAGCTTGCTGATAGTTCTGTAAACCTTTGTGCAACATGGCAGAGCCAGGTTCCCTAGACCCCTAGGTCACAATTATTTAAAGTGTTGATATTACTTATTTAAATGCAGCTTGAGTAGAAAATGCAATTCATTTCATACTTCTACTCTGTCCTGAAGAGAGCTTGGCTTTTGCCCTGAAACAGTAGATTTCTTTTATACCTTTACACTTCTTGGCTGAATTGCTAGATGAATAGCAGCTCTACTGATACTTCTTAACAGCCAATGTGAGCTGTCTTCATATCCTACTGCAAAATAACTCACTGCTGCCCTGTTCTATAAGCACTGCCTAATAATCCACACACACTTAAAAAATAATTGCCATCACAAATGCTGCGTTTCAAAAATGTTCCATGAGGCATCTTGATGAGAGCATAATCAGCAGAATTTAACTATGGGTAAAATCCCTGCAGGATAGCTTCTCACCCATCTGTCAGTGGCTTCTCAGCACTCAGCAGGACAAAGAATAGATTTCTCCCCTTAAAAGAACATTCTTTCCCCTTTCTGAAGTAATTTTGTACTTAGTTTGGGTATTGGTAGACTTGTGCTTCAGCTGCTTGGATCTGCTCCTGTAGCTCTGTTCCTACTTAAAAGCTAACAAGCACTGGCCTAATACTAATGTTTCCTTTTAGAAGCCCCTCTATATGGACTTGTCTCAGGACCAGGTGAAATCCTATGGCAAGATAAAGGGCTCTGTTTGGTATGTTAGAAGTTTTAATCTCCAGGCTGGTGAAGCTGATTGGCTGCACTAGAGCTGAGGTAAGAAAGACCAGCATGTATCCAAACAGCAGAGATGGGAATAGGGAGCAACATCAAATCTTGCTAAAATCTGTTAGAGCTGCCTTTTCCACCATTCACTTTGCATCTCTTAAAGTTGCAGCAATGCTCTAGGCAAGGTGGAGTGGGCAGATACAAAAGGTTATACAGCCAGACAGAAATTATTAAAATGTCAAGAAATGGCAACTGCATGGAGAAGGAGTTGGCCACATGGCCTGTAAGAAAGAATTTATGTAGGAATATTTGTTGTTATCTATTAGGGACAGAGAGTGATGCAGGAAACCAAAACCAAAGAGAACCCACGTGGCACAGCCACTATCTGTCACTGTAAGCTTGGATGGATTTTCATGAAGGAAATGGGATTAGAGGGAGTACAGTTTGTGCTGGAGATAGTGCTCTTAGATCAGTCATGCAAAGCTGTGAGATCATAATCCAGAGGCATTAGAATATTTTCAAGAAATAAAAGTAATTTAGAAATACAGTAGAAAAATACAAGAATAAAAAACAGTTTAGAGAAAAAGATGTACAACTAGAGACTTTTATACCCTGATAATTAAAACCCACCAGGGAATCCACCTCTTTGGTTAAAAGGCCTATTGCTTGTGTGCGCCACGTGAGGCCTCCTGTTTGAGAGGGCTGGAGGTGGGCAGGAATGGGCACCCATCCTGTAAGCTGCGTTTGGTTCATGGGACCTTCTTTCATCTCGGCGTGGTTTTTCAGACTGAAGAACACTGTGGAATGTAACGTTGTGCTCGTATTGTTCCTTCATCTGTTGTATCTTTTGTCGAGGGACATGATGAGTATTTCTTCTGTAGAGTCGACATTAACAGAAGATACAAGTATTTAGCTGCCTGTGTGTTAGAGGTCATCTGAAGCTTGCTACAGTTCCCAACATGTTCAGGATAATGGTTCACATCCCCACTGATCTGTTTCTGGCCCTGTTTTCCCAAACTGTTGTATTCTTCCACATACTTCTTAAAAATATTATGTCACAACTGAAAAAGGTAACCCAAGTATTTTTGTGGGTAGCCAGGACACAAGAAGTTAGACAAATGCTTTGAAATGAGAGTGCCATGTAGAAGACCTCTGTATTATATAATGCATATATATAGTGTGTATACAGTTTTGCTGAAGTTTCTTGTTAATGGTTTGATAGCCTCAGGGTGAGCTTTTGTACATCTGGCTGTAAATAGCCCAGGCACTGACTTAAAATCACCATGTATAGAGGTTAAAATAATGTTGTTGCTTTGTCTGAGCACAGGTGGATTAAAATCATACCTGGTGTGGTTCAGGCTCCAGGGTAAATGACATGTTTGAGAGGGAGGGGAGCTCAAACACGCAGGGCTTTCTGGATAGACCAGAAACAGCTGCATTCTCTCAACACATAAGTAACAATTGTTTTTTCCAAAGACTACTCCAAATTTCTGTGAGTTTGCAAACTCAGAATATCTTTAGTTTTGCCATTTAACTCTATAAGGCACAATTTGTAATTGAGGCCCTGCAGCAGGCAGTGCCCTCACCCATGCCACCTGCGCCCAGTAACCAGCACAAACTGTATTGCTGGTGAGGATGCAGTGTGGGACCACAGCGGAAGCAACCATCAGCTGTACTTGAATCATCTGCCGAAGAGCTGTTCCAGACTGAGAATATTTGGATTAGCACTGCAGTGCTGCTGTAAAAGCCAACTTGCTTCCTATGATTAATAAAGTACAAGCTACCAAGTAGCTCAACCTATAATAAGTGATTAGTAGTAAAATCTGCCTCTGCAGCAATGCCCTCCAAATGCTCCCAGCTGGTGCTTGTGAAGCAAGAGCTGACGCTTGCAGTTGAATGCGAAAGCGTAAGTGCCCTCACCTGCCTTCAGCCCCTCCGCTGCCACCTGGAGTATCCTGCTGTACCCTGAAGCCACAAGTACTGTGCAGGGCCACCACCCTCTGCCGTGTGTCACACACAAAAAGGTGCAGCACTGATTTTTAACTTCAGTTCCTAGCTGGTACAAAACGAGTAAATTGGTTGAGATTAAATACCTGTGCCCTGTTTTCTTGCAGTAATAAGTTATCATGTGTTAGCTACTGGATGTAGTAGATGGGAGTGCACTATTCATTCACTGTAATGCACTTTACATCAGGTTGGTTAAAGACTAGGAAATTAGCCTGCGTGGGTTTTTTTCTCACTGATGTAACCATTAACCCTGCAGCCACTAGCAAAACAGAGTCGTATTTGGCTCCCTCTGTATCCTACCACACCACACAGCATTGATACATTCATTGTATCCCTTCTGTGTATGCATGAAAGATCCTCTAGAGCTCCATTTATTGCCCACACTTAAGCACCGTACACAATGGTGTTACAGCAAGACCATGTTTGTTATGGTTAGATTTTTTAAGAACAAAAGCCTGAGTATTGTCTGTAGTGCTTGGACATCTTTTTGTGCCCAGAGAGAGAGAGAGGGTGCTGCTCAAAATACAGAATGAAAATTAGGGTTCCAGCTCCAAGAAGCTTGCCATATAAATACACGCTTCAGGGGGGGTTGCTTTTTCTACTGCCTGGCTCACTTCTCGGTCAGGCTTTTTAAGGGCTGAGTTCACTACAGGCCAGGTACTGAGTGACAGACGTTTTCCACAACAACCCTTCTGTTGTCATTTGCTAGGTTACTTTCTAGCGTATATGAAGAGGGCTGACATTTCTCAGATCACATAAATAAAATGAGAAGCTGTCTGCTGTATCAAAAGAGATGTACCTTGTCAGTTCTTGAACATTGAACTTCCAGGGTGTATCTGGTTCTTGGAATACAACTTCATACCCATTTTCACGTGCCTAAAGAAGGACACAGAAGTGTTAGATACATGGCTGCCAAGCTCAGGAATAGCCAATCTTCTAGACCCCCAGAGATTTTATCTAAGAGATGTACCATATGTATCAGGAGCCAGAAACAGGAAGATAACCATGAGTCGCACCAAGGTGCTGCTCTGAGGCCCAGCTAGTTTGTTTTCTTACAATCAAAGGGTTTGGGTCTCCCAGGAAAACTTGCCTCAGCCTTGCCCCAGTCCCTGTCCCTCCACAGCAATGGCATCCTAGCACTTGAACACTTTGGAAGCCACCAATGGTTCAAGAGCTGCAGGTTGGCCATGCAGCCTGGAGCTTCTAGAGTGTGAGGTCAGCATCTATCAGATGTGCTATTTCCAGCCACTGAGTCTACATGCTTCAGGTTTTTCCAAGGTAGAGCAATATAGCATGTTGCTTTATATTAATGTACACACACACAAATGTACATATGTGTATTTAATACAGGGTTTGATTGCTTTTGTCTTGATTTGTCGGAAAGGTGTCAGGGAAATCTGCTCACCTTTTTATACTTTGCCTTTTTATACCGTTTACCTTTTTGTACTGTGCTCTCATGTGCTTCTGAGTCACCCACAAGCACTCATAACTGCTGCTGGGGTGACATGCCCCAGCTCTCCAGCACCACTAGAAATCCCTGCCTCTTTTGTGCTCCCATTACAAGCAGCACTTACACACGAATTTCTTAACTGACAAGACCATAACCCAAGAATAGAAGTGAGAGCAGACAGGCCACAGTATAAAACTCCACTAAAATATTGCCATCTTTGCCAGAACTCCTGACAAGAGATACCAGTGCATCTTCAGAAGCGATTTATGGTTTACTTTTTGCAAGTCATAAACTAAAATTGTAAGTAAGCCATATCTTGCTATATTTGTCAACAGATACATAGGTTGGGAACTGTTTAATTCATGTCACTGCTGAGGAAGAAGATGACATCCTGATTGCCAAGAAGAGGGCAAGTTTGAAAGACTATCGATCTTTTCAAGTAACTTTGCCTTCACTGAGCTATGTAGTGGACTAGATAAGACAGCTACACTGGCACTTCTTCCCCTACTTCATCACAATATCAATCCTAACTATAGAGAACTAAGGGAAAATGGAAGTAAGTGTTCTTAGCCACATTAAGAACCATTTCAGTCAGATCATCTCACGAATGTCATAGCTGAGCATATAAAAGCAATAAATCAGAGCTTTCCCTACCATTATCACATACGGCTTCATTTCCCAAGCATGGATGTTGGTATTATCAATAATAACCGGGCTTTTCCCATTCTTCATTGCTTTGCGTGCTGTAATGTAACACATTAAGTAAAGCTAAAATGTATTAAGTAACAGGCTGAGCCAGGTCTCACTACCACAGCATCCTTTCTTTGCCCACCACTAGCACCCTTGTTTCCCCACCATTTGGTGCAGCTGCCACCCAAATGGGAGCAGCGGTTGTGCCCCACAGGTGCTCTCCTAGAGGAGGTGCTGCAGCCACTGGCTCTGCTCAGTGGTACAAGCTGAAGCTCTCATAAAACATACTTAGTAGTATCATAGCACTGTGTTTAAAACAGCTAAAAATGTCTGTCATTTGCTAAAGATCCCTGCTACAAGATCTGAAAGTATGTTTGCCATTGCTAGAAATGAATTCAGAGCGCAGCCTCAAAAGCACATTACATTTTTCTTACTGAAGTAGAGACCTGGGTTGTTTCATTCTCAAACTTATAATTAGGTTTGCAAGTTTTCCTCCTGGCTATCACTAGTTCCCCCACTGCAACACCCCCTTCCAAGTCAGGACAGACATCTAATAAGTTACAGCCCCACGGCTGTGGTGCATACAGCTGTAATGAGCCACTCCTGGGCTGGTTATCTGCAGGCCAGCTGCTGGTACCTAATAGTCACTGGTTTACTTATTAAAATAACATCTATCAATCACCAACAATTTTATCACTTATAAGCCAAAGGAAATAAATTCAGAAGTGGTAAATGTATTTTCCTAACCAGTACCCAGGAACTGCAGTATGACACCACTTCCAGATGTTTTCTTTTGGGGGCTAAATTGAAAGACGGACTGAAAAGCAAAACTGTTCTCTAAAACCCCTGGATCGAGTTCAGTCACCTCTCTTTTGGTTCCATTTGTGTGCATCCTCTAGGAAGTCAGGCTCAAACACATATACACCATTTTCAATGAAGAAGTCATCAGTACTAAGAACTACAGCACTGGGATAGTCACGTTTCAGTTGTCTGAAACAAAAAAACAAGATGACAGAAGGATTAGTATAGGCTAATGCACAGCTTTCACAAAGCCCATCATTAACATTTTATGAATGCTCTGCAGATAGTGATTCATTTGTAAAATCCCAGTTTAAAGGATCTGACAGTAATGTCATCAGTATGTGGACACACAGAAGGAAAAGAATGGAGCTTAAAGGTGTGGCCCTGATTTCTTTAATTCAGCAGAGAAATCTACACACAACATGCAAGTCTTCAGTCACCTCATATATTCAGCTTTCTTCTGAGTTAGAATCATAGAATAGTTAGGGTTGGAAGGGACCTTAAGATCATCAAGTTCCAACCCCCTGCCATGGGCAGGGACATCTCACACTAAACCATGTCACCCAAGGCCTCGTCCAACCTGGCCTTGAACACTGCCAGGGATGGAGCATTCAAAGGTTATCTGAGAAGGTATGATTGTAAACACAAAAAACCCCAAACCAAACCTGCTAATCCTGTGGAAGTTGATCTCAAAAGACAATTTGACAATAAGAGTTTTGCTGTAGAGAGATTTCTGAAGATAACTAGGAGGAATTATCTGTCATTTAGTTAAGGTGGTCTGTATTGCCACTGCTCTGGCTGGCTGGGATTTTGGGGTTTAGTTTGAGGTTTTGGGGTTTTTTTTTGTGGGTTTTTTTTTGTTGTTTTTTTTTTTCAACAAAGCACATAATACTTTTTTTTTTCTTTTTTTAATTTGCAAACGCGTACCTGTGTGATTAGCCAATATTTCTTAGTATTTCTTGCAACTTCATGGGTTTTTTCTGCTTTTCAGTTGTCTCTGTTTTACTTAGTCCTCCTTTTGTAGAGTTGAGTAGTTTTTATTTATTTTCAGCATTTAAGCAGGTTTTATAAACAAGTCTGAGCTGTCTGGATTGGCAGCCCCAAAAACAATAGCAGGGCAACCCCTCTTCTCTTCACACCAGTGTGCATCCCACAGCGATGCTTGTTCAGCCCTGGGATACCCATAGAGGGCAGATGCGTGTCCTGCTGTAAGCTGACTAGCTGCCTCATGGACAGTGACTGGCTTTAGGAGGTGGAAGTGCTGGCTCATGTGCTGGTTTAAATAAGAAGCACTCCTCTGCCAGTCCTTAGTGGGCATGAGAAAAGACCTTAGTGCAAAATTGTGTCCCCATTTTTGTGTAACCCAGATCTGTGTCCAGATTCTTCAGTGAAAAAAAACAGCAGTGTTATGGGATGAAATCAGGGAGATTTTATCTGCATAAAACCAAGGAGAGCCCACAGCATAATCTCACTACTCACTGTCTTCCTAAGGCTCAAAACATCTCTGGAAAAGAAAGTAAGGTCAGCTGAGGAACCCTGTGGCTTTCAGACATGAATGCTGCTGCCCTGCTATCTCACACCACATGTGGTCTCCAGTCCTAGGACTCATTTCAGCTTCCCTGGTTAACTTCTTCTTTTCCATCCCCACAAGCTGCAAAACAACTATTTCTCAATGTCTTATCTAATTGAGCAACAGCAAGAGAAAAGGTGCCTCTAGGTTATCAGTGAAAAACAGACACAGACAGAAAAAACTTAATTCCAGCCCTGCCCCAACCATTTACTTGCCAATTTTACCCTAATCCGCCTGCCAGCAGCAGCTCTTCACTAGGATTGCACTTCACATTTAGCCAAATAAAGGTCAGCTGTTGACTTTGTTCTACCTCCACTGTAACTTCTACCATCTGCTGAGGAATTAATACCATTTTGTGTTAGCAACCACAAGGCTCATGGCTGTTGGGACTGGGTTGTAGCCCCTGTTACGTATCATTTAGCACCCACATATTATCTTCCAGCTCCAAAGAGAGTTTTTACTCACATAATCACTGCTGGGCAACCAGATCTAACAAAAGTCACACTGCAAAATGTTAGCAAAGAGTCAAATTACTTTGCTTTATTTTTGATCCCAGGCAAAGAATTCTTGTAATGAAAAGCATAGGAGCACCTAATGCACACCTGGTTACTCCTGTGCTGATGAACAGAGGGGTTCAGCTCTCACTGCAGTTCAGCACCTCACCTTTCCCTCTGCTCTACCCACTGCATCACAGCCTCTTCTTAAAAACTTGGCTGTGCTAAAATACATGTTGGCCCTTTAGCTACCAATAGGCACATAGAATTGTACACATTAATAAAGGATCTCAAGGGGTTTTTTTCCTGCTCAGTGTTTCCTTTAAAAATGTTCCTGACCAATGCAATTTTAAACAATTATTTTCTTAGCATACACCTTAATGAATTTTTAACACGTATATATGCAGGATCGCATGAGGGCTTTGATGTTGACTGCTAAGCAATCTGAATAGTACATGATTATCTATAAACTCAGTCTACTGTCCTCATATCACTGGTAATTAAAGTAGATAAAACTTGCGCTTCAAAGGAGAAAAAATAGGACACAAAATGTGCTAACAGCTATGAATTACGGTTACATTTGCTATATTCATACCAAACAAACTCCTACTAACAGCAACATAAGAAAACATTAAGTGGAAAAGGTGTTTCACCTTCTGCTTATTTTGCTGGTTTTCACTTTTAGCTTTCTAAAACACCCAAACTGACACTGATCACTTTCTCTAATCACCTATTGCCTGTGAAGGTTTTTCTGTCCCTTATACGTTCAACAGGCCCCCAAATCTCTTTAGTGTGTTCCTTCAGAAATAAGCTTTCTATGACCTACACAGGCCCACAAGTGGGTTGACAAGAAGGGGTTTACATAACCACATCAGGCGTCTAATCCCTGTATGCAATAAATACACCTTTATTTTAGCAAAATATACACCAGCTGTGCAAAATGGGAGGATTTGTGCCCAGTGTTATTAATTATTACATTGTGAGCAGCACTGTTAAAAGAAAATTACCCAGTGCTGTTAGATCCATAAAGTGTAAAGCATACTGAGGAGGAAAAGCAAAATGAAATCTCTTTGCAAGACCAAAGGGTACATATGAGCTATGTTTGCATTTCTTATAAAAAGCCATTGAACTCAAAGGGCTGCACTGTAATAAGCAGGACCTGTCAAAGGTTCAGTGTTAATTTGCCTACTTGGGACATCTAATTGCATAGCGTCACAGCTCTCTACCTTGCAGTAAATACAAAGTAGGATATGCTCTGTATCTTGCTAAAGAGAAGTTTGCTGCTGGTTTGGAAAATACAAAGGATAAGAGAAGATGGAGAGTCCCTTTTACAGGTAGTTGCATGGAAAAGATGAGGGGTAATAGACACAAATTACCACTGGGGAGATTCTGATTGGACACAAGAGGAAAAAATTTCACAGTGAGCACAATCAGCCATTGGAATAATCTCCATTGGGAAGTGGTGGATCCCCCAGCATTGGACACTTCTAAGATTCAGCTGGACAGGGTGCTGGGACATCTAGCCTAGTCCATGCTTTGCCTTAAAAGGTTGGACCAAATGATCCTTGAGGTCCCTTCTAAGCTGATGTTCTATGATTCTATACTGTTGCATTTCTGTTTGACCAAAGCAGCACTGTAACAGCTGCCTCAGTGAGTAGAGTCTCCTCTATTATTCAGCTATGATCTGTTCCCATGCTTTATACAATTTTAAAGTCCCTTTTTTCTAAAGAGCATCTTCAGTGCTTTCAAACCATCATTTCAGATTGTAACTATATGCATAGACAAAAAGCAAATATTCAGGATTTCAACTAGCTGGATGCATTAGAGTACTTGGGAGAAGTCTCCATGATCACTAGTAATATTACTGGAGAGAAAAAAAAACCAGAACAGTATTCCATAGGCGGTCAAGTTTTTCCATCAGAAAATTTGAAAATTGATTGATTTCTGGTTTGGAAGGAACATTTGCAGTGCTCAGAGGGCAACAGGATGGTTTGTTGGCTAGATCTCTGAGCCAGTAAAATTCTCAGTCTACTTCCAATGTAACTGAGACCGAAATACATAGGTACTGAGGCCACATGCAACCACTTGCTGTGGTCACTTTTCCCAGTGTAAAGCATTTCTGTGACATTTGAAAGCCTTCAGTTTCAACAGAAAATGAGAACTATGAGATCTGGAGCACATGCCCAGCACTAGCACTGAAACACTGTTGTGTTTCAACAACAGCGTGGTGAGGACTTTGCCCTACTCTACCAACAGCTCTGTTGGCAAAGCACCCACACGCCTGGGTGTCTCACCTACAGTGAGTAGAGTGGATGTACTCTGCATGGGATCAGGCTGCAGGTCACATTTGGTAAATACATTCAGGAGAATCGCCTGTTAGTGTTTACATTGTGTTGCCTGGTGCTGCAGAGCTGAAGTCACAGAATCACAGAATCAGTAGAATCATTTGGGTTGGAAGGGACTTTAAAGCTTATCCAGTTCCACCCCCCTGCCGTGGGCAGAGACACCTTCCTCCAAAGCCCCTTTCCAAACTGGCCCTGAGCACTGTCAGGGATGGGGCAACTTCTCTGGACAACCTTTTTGTTTGCTTTTGCAAATAAATAATGACCTTCCTCCTCCTCCAGCAGGATCTTGCCCTGAGCTTTGCTGCAGTAGTTTTCTGCAGACATAGCATGGCTCAGCACGTTGTGGTCACCAACACCAAACGGTACACAACGGGGGAATAGCACATCTCAGAATTTTGGTAGCACTCTCCTTCCATAATGTGGGCAGAGTTCATGGAGAGGTAAGAAATACCATTTTTACAGCTGCCCTTTGATCTGTGGACTGCTGAGCAGCTAAATGCAATGATATCATTAACAGGGACTAGAAACAGAGTGAGCTCCTCAAACGCTCATTTCGCAAGGGACTAAAACAATACTTACAACTGCTTTGTAAATCTGCCATTAATAATTAATCTTGTAACCAAAAAGCACATAGGTGAGTCAGTTATTTGCACTGCCTGAGAATATGGCCTCAAACCATTATGCTCTGTATTAAGAGAAGACCCAGCCCCTTCTGAAGGAGAACTTACACAACTTCTTTCGGGAGAACACATTTGGGTGCCAGTAAAAACACTGCATTTGGCTGTTCATTAAAGAACTTGGTCTTACCCAAGTCCTGTGAGGCAGAAAGCACAGTGCGACAGAAAGGACTGTACTGACAAGAGGAAACTGTACATTAACACAGTATTTCACACACCTTCCACAGCAGGGCCCTTCCTTTGGCAGCCCATGATCCCAACGTCTGTTTCTCACCCAAGCAGAGGAAGAAGACAGCGAGTGTTCCTCTTTTGATGGAGAGTGGGTGAGTGGCACCAGAAGCCGTGAGGTACCGGCCCGTGAGGTCTTGCAGTACTAGATTGTGGCTATGCTGCAAATCATGCTCATTGCGGTGCCATCTCCTAGCACTCCCCGCCAGGGCTTTCCACCTATTTTTAGTCAGTCTTGGAGCTGCTGGGGAGTGGACTGGTCTGCCCACTTTATACACCCTATAGGTCTGACCAGGAATGCTGGACACCATGAAAACACAAGTCAGAGTTGTCAGTTTTGACAGTCAGAGAGGAAGTGCTTTACTGTGTTTGTGATCAACCACGAACAAATCCAAGACAAAACAAAAACAAGCAAACAAACAAAACCCACCACCAACAAAAAGGGACTAGTCTGGCACTTCTTAGAGAAGAAACAGCTGCCCTGGAGTGAGTGATTAGTCCATCTTAATATAAACATCCCTTCTGGTACTGCCCACTCCGAACAACAACATTCACAGTTGTACAGGCAGCGCTTCCCCAAAGCGGTTACAGGCAGCTGGAGCAGAAAGGCTCTGAGCGGTTCCTGGAGCAGAGGTTTCCAAACTGCTGTTCTTACTCGTCGGGGGTCCTGCGAGGCTCCCACCTCCCCCTGAGCCAGAACCAGCTCTGGACCGGTGCCTTCGCGCGGTTCATGACAGTGTCTCCTGCTCGGGGGACCCCGCGGTGCCGCTCCCGGCACACGGACCCTGCAGAGGGGCCCGCCGGGAGCCGAGCCGCGATCGCAGGAGGAGAAAGGCAAAGGGCTGCGGACCCACCGCCTTACCTGGCCAAGGTGCTCTTCCCGGAGCCCGGCAGCCCCCGCAGCAGCACCAGCCGCCCGGAGAACCGGCCCCGCCGGGGCTGCAGGCTGAGCCCCCCCAGGGCCTGCAGCAGCCGCTCATCCATCGCCGGCCCCGGCAGAGAGCGGGGCGGGAGTAGCCGGGCCCGGCCCGGCCCGGCCCGCAGCGGCGGGGAGGAGGAGGGAGCCCGGGCAGCCGCTCCGGAGCCTGGCCCCAGGGATCATTCCCCCGGCCCCCGCCGCGGCTTGTGTCGTCCACTGACGGGGTGGTGGGGGAAACCCGCGTCCCTCGGTGGAGGGAGACCTGGAATCTGCCCCAGGCTCCCGAGACCTTCCCCCGTGAAAACGAAAGCTGTCTGAAGGAGAAGTATACAGGAAAGAAAAGACATTGGCTGCTCATACCGCAAAACCGTGCAGTTACGGCCTTGGACTTCTACCCAGAACGTTAGCCCAAGAAACCATCTTTCATAACGTAAAAATTAACTCCCAAGTCCTCAAAAGTGGGAGAACACAAGCCAGAGGTGAAAGCGTTCAGTCCCCTGTGCTGTCCACGTGTATTGGTCATACCAGAAAGGGAATCACCACAACTCTTCCGAGGAGTGTGGCTATGAACAGGACACCAGATACAGATGGGGTCTCTTTTCTTCCTTCCCTCTTCCCCTTCCTGACTGTGATGGAGTCCACCCCACCACAAAGGCAGGCAACGATTCCAAGCAGCTGTAGCCAAACAACTGCCCTGCACCCGTGACCCTGTGCACCACGCTCACTTTTTTCAAATACATTACCAACAAATACAATATCAACTTTTTTCAAATACATTATCACACAAGAAAAACTATAGGGAGTTTAATAAGATTTATTTCCCCTAAAGAAAATCTGATCTGCTTTAAGTTGATCACCACACAAGCCAAAGACATGATTTCCAGTTTCCAGTAAACCCAGTAACAGCTGGCATGGCATCACACTCTTCCTCTCAGAGGCACGTGCAGTATCAACTCCAGTTTGGTTAAAAGGTGGCCTCAGGCATGCCACAGGGACACACCACCACCAAACTACAACACTGAAGCTTTGGGGTTTGAAGTTTGCAAACAGTGCTAAAGAGAGATCAGGAGGCAGCTTATCTCCCTGGATGTGGCACACCAAGACTAGCTGAAGCAAGTGGGAAAAAATAGTGGTAGGAAAGAAGATACATAAACTTGAAAACTCAAGATACCCAAGGGGGTTTAAAGTAAACTTAAACTGACTTAAACCGTACTAAGAGATGAAACACCTTTTGTCCATACAAGAGCACTGTGAGATTTTTAGAATTACTTTAGTTTTAAGCAATCTGGAAGGTCGGTATTCAGTAACAGAATATACAGGCATTCAGATTTCTCTCTCAATAAACAGAAGTAGGAAGAAAATATTTACCTTAAGTGACATTTTCTTGAAATCAAACTAACTTGCCTGCTGCCAGTGGGACATCAGGTAAGTCTGAAGCTGTGGCTATGGCCAGCATGAATTACCTTCCTTCTCCCTGTGACATTTTGTGTAACATTCTGCTGGTAGAAGGGCAGCACGTTTCCAACCAAGGAAAGTAAAAATCACACAAGTACATATGAAATGCATAAAAAAAAGTAGAGCTGGTACAACCTTAATTTAGAGCTACAAACATCTTTAACTGCTTACACTTATATGCAGGATTTGTTTAAGTGGAGAGTGGGGTCACATCAGCAATTCAGAGCACAGTGGAGCTTCAGCATGACTGCAGTTGGGTACCAGCTTTTCAGCTGATGCACATCAAAAAGGGTGCAGGGAAAGAGGGAGAAGAGGAGGTGAATAAACAGTTGAATCAATATTCTGGATCTGGAGGCTGTGTAAATGGGAAATACTGTTTTTGGTGAGTACACACAACCTAAGCTTCCTTGTTTCTCCTCTTCCAATTGATCTTTTCTCATCTTTTTCACCATGAGGTTATAGTTGTCTTTTCTGTCACTCCCTCTCACTACAAAGTAATTTCCAGCCTTATGCAGGTCTCAATTGACAAAGGTTGCCCTGATTAATTAACTGGGTGTAATTTTATTTGTCCTTTCACCTCCCTCCATTCTCTATTGCCTGTCTCACCTTCTTTACTTGCTATTTCCGCAAGCACTCATGATTTTTCATGGGATTAAATTCATCACCTAACTAGTTTAGCTCACTCTGCACATGTAAGTATCTCCACCTTTCCTGATACCTGTGTAGGCCTTACATAGACATTTCCATGAGCAAAAGTTTAGATTTTATTGTCAGGGGTTCATTCATTTCTGCTGCTCATCTCCCACTGGAAATCAATACTCATGTTATTGGGACAATTTCCTCAGTAACAGAACTGCTGTTAGTAAGGTTACTCTTCTAGTTGAGGAATGAACACTGTGCTTAATTTTGAGGGGAAAACCACAATATTAAAGAAAAAAAAAAAGAGGAAACAACTGCTTCAGGCTTAAATCATAAGAATGTAAGTAAAAAATAGCAAAAGCAATACTACTAATGGAAATATCAAATCACTCATTATCAGTGCTTATAAGGCTTATCAATCTACCACAAACCATATGCACCTCACCTCCAATGTGTCTGAACCAGATCTACAGTGAATTTTCTCCTTATTTCTATAGTCCCAAATAAGTGTAGTTGAAGGGAAGCACTAAGCCTAGTTTTAGGAGAAAAAGTGGTTAAGTTGTGCACCTCTGGGTGAAGGAGTAGGAGTTACTGATGAAAACAGTCCACCTGAGGTTGTAAACAGACTGGGGTGTGATTATGACTGGCAGGATGAAAAGCAAAAGTAGGGTAAGACATATAACAGGCACCTTTCCCTGCAGGTAGGCATCACTACCAGTTCGTGTACCAGCTGATGTGGCAACATCTTGGATCCTGGTACAAGTGAATTAAATACCAGAGTCTGAAGCTCACACCTCATGCAGACAGACATCTCCTTTCTGCTTACAGGTTTCTTATCTCAATCTCTTTGTACCACACTCAAGGATGTGCTAAGAAGGTATAAATCCCAAAGGGCTTCAGAAAGTGACCCTATGGTACACACAACAGAGTTATCTCAATTTTGACTTTTCATACGTGGACAGAGAGGTTGCTGTCAGGGGGCTGTGGAGAAGGTAGCCAGAGATTCATGCCAAGAATCTACAGTGTTTTCTTCCTTCGAGGTTACTCCTCACGTTTAAAATCCTCGGTGGCCAACTGGAGTCCTTCCATGGTGCAATCAAAGTGAGAAGTTTCTGAAATTAAAAATAGCAGATTCTGCTGAAATACCACAACAGCACAGACTGCAGAAAGACTTTAATGGCTGCAAATCTGACTGAGAAGAGTTCACCTGTCTGATGCTTTTAAAAGTCTTACTCATAGTCAGTTGTTGGTTATTTCTTTAAAAAGTTAAAAAGAATGGAGAGGAAGCAGGTGATGGAAAGCAAAAGGAAAATAAATGCAAGAATGGAAATAAAGAAAATTTGGATGTCAAAACTAGAGACAGTAAGTATGTAGCAATCTCATGGCTGAAAAATAAAGAGAAGAGTAACAGTGGATTTTTTTCCTCTACATGTCACAAAACCACTACATAATTAATAGCTTTTCAACTGATACCACTATAGCGTAGGTACATCCCATAATTGTGTTGCAAATCTTTCCCCTTATATTTACTTGGGACCTCACAGGCCTCCAAGTTACGCAGCTCATGGGAGCCATCAGCAGAGCCTGATGGTTACTCTTGTCTGAGAGCTCCAGAAACACCATTCTGGGCAGCTCTTACCCACCCTGGTAGTTGTACTATCTGCTTAAGTAAACTGTAGGCCAGGTTTTCCTGGTGAGCACTGTAAAAGGCAGGTGAGGTTTTCTGGTCACAATTCTGTACACTTTTTCATGTCTTTTTTTTTTTTTTTCATTTTTTTAAATTAGTGGTTAAATGTCAAAGGATAAACTATTTTTTTATTATCATTGTATCAAAGTAGCAACTGGAAGAGGCTATGGGATGGTTGGTGACAGCCAGCATGTCTTCACTAACGGCAAATCATGCCTGACCATCTTGGTGGGGGCAGAGCAGTTGATGTTGTCTGCCTGGACTTGTACAAAGCATTCAACAGTGTCCACATGACATCCTTGCCAAAAGACTGTCCTTCCTGTCCCAGCTGTATGTTCCTGCTCCTTTGCATGTGTCCTGCTGATTACATGGCTCAAGGAAAAGTTGCTTCAGCTCACTGGTCCAGACTGAAAACTTTCTGAATGCCTCTATGCACTGGATGATTGAGTTGAACTGCCTCAGCCTGGCTGCTGAAGCATGGCGTCCAGCTAAGGGAAGTGATGGGAAGAGCACAGCCAGGGAAAGGAGGAGCAGTAATACATGTCATGAAGAGATTCATTTCATCAAAACCACAGCCTGATCGGCTGTTGTGGAGGAAGTCTTCCTGCAGGGAGTTACTGACTGCTGCACTTCACAAAGAAACATACCAGCCTTTATTCTGCAGTAGTCCTGCAGATAAATGCTTAAACTGACACTGGGTTTTGTCGTCTTGTTCTGCATTTGTATAGCACCTGGCACTCATGAGTCCTTCTCTAAAGAAAACTGGCAGGCACCACAATAATGCTGTTTTCACTGATCTCAGAGGTTTTTAACCCAGGATTTCTTGCTTAATCTCCAGAATAAATGCTGATGTGCTGCCAATGCAACTATAAGGAGCTCTCACAACAACTTGAGATCAACCTTGTGTTTTCACAGAGGAACACCAACACTGTTCATTCTACCATTTAAATAAAACCACCCTTACAGAACATGAATACAGAAGCATGATCATCGGACTAACAGATTAAGTTACACTTGGCCAGTAATGCTTAGTTTATTTTCCAATCTAAAGGGACTGAAGTGATCATACCAGGTCTCCATTTATTTTCCATGACTTTAAAAGCTTTTGGAAAGAATGCCTCAGCTTCTTTACTTCTCCTCCCCCCAGACATTTGATGAAATCAAATCCATTTCAACATTTATAGTTGTTCACTGGAGCAATTTTACAGCCACTCTGGGACATCATTCTTGGCAAGTCTGCTTTATCAGCAACCAGAAGAGAACAATTTTGTGGTGAGGAAATACAACCTTATCCCTCAAAAGCAGGGGCACTACTGGCCAGACAAGCACACCTTTTTTTTACAGCAATTACACACGCAGACTTCAGAGGACTGCTAGAATACCCACCCGGGGTCTGGCCAAGGGTTTGCATCACCTGGTATCCTGTGCCTGACAGTGAGCATGAGTCAACTGAAAACCCTAAGAAATGTGTTTTGCTTTTTGAAGATTTCTTTTCTTTTTAAATTTTCTAATTAAAACATCCTAATATTTATCACAGAATCACAGACTGGTTTGGGTTGGGAGGGACCTTAAGGATCACCTAGTTCAAACCCCCTCCCATGGGCAGGGGCACCTTCCACTAGACCAAGTTGCTCAAAGCCCCATTCAACATTGCCTTGAGCACTCCTAGGGATGCGGCAGCCACAGCTTCCCTGGGCAACCTTTGTATAAGCTTAAAACCAGTCTTTCATCTGAAGGCATGATTGCACAATACGTAGTCCCTGGTATCAGGGCTGACTGCGCATCTGCAGCAGCAGCACCCCATCTGCTCCCTGGCCCCAGAGCTTCAGCACTGAGTTGAACCTTGCAGTCTTATCTAAATTTGCCAGCCCAGAAGAAAACTATCCATTTGTTTCCTCTGGTGTTAACAAGTGAAATTGTAGCCTTCATGCCAGCCAGCAAGTGCCAGAGCTGAAAACTGGCACAGGGCTGGGAAGAGGGGTACCTCTCACTCCACTGTCTGTGGCAGCAAGCCATCACAACAGCTTGGCCTGAGGCAAAACCACAGCTTCAGAGCAGCCTAAACCTATCCAGGCTCTGGTGTCTCATCCTCTTCCTCCAACAGCCTTCAGGACTTTCCCTGACTCATTTCAGGTGGTGAACTAAAACACCAAAAAACCCAAACAAAGCAATCCCAAAGAAAACCCCCCCAAACCCCTGACTAACTTCCCTCCTCATCCCAACAGAGAGCCCTAGCCAGTTTAGCACTCCCAAGTCAAAGGCTTTGCTGAGCACCAAAGCTGCTGCAAGGAGGCTGGGACCAGGGCAATCAACCCTTACACAGGCTTCATCTGCCAGCAGGGACTTCCAGCTTAACCACCCCATCTCAGCACAGATCTTCATTGCCAAGTCCTTCTGTGCAGAGCATGCAGTGCCTTCTTTTAAAAAGAAAAAAAAGAAGAAAAGACTGAGAGTCTTTTTTCATGGCAAAATACACATTGCTTTAATTCTAGGTTCCCTAGGACTAACATAAGCCAGTCCAGTAGAGTATTAGACTGCCATGTCATGTCACAAACTGGGGTTTAACAATGCTTCATTACAGAGCAGCAGTCAGCAGCTGGCTCACAAATGCACAGGACACACCAAGACAGCACACAAAGGAAAGAAATTTCCAGGTTAAGCACAGTTTTCCTGAGGGAAGAGAACAGAGCTCTCCGAGTTTGTTTCTTTAGTATACACACCTTGTGAGATTAGTGCTGTTGGTACTGTGTGGTTCAGAGACTCCCTTCACCTTCCTACATCGGTAGTTGGTACAGGCTTATCAGCTTGTGATCTCCAATGTCATTTTTGTCATCAGTGATATAAAAACACATATAATCAAATCAACCCCCAGTCAAGAGGTTTCAATTCCATCCCGAACTATTCAACTACTTTACTTCTGTCATGAGCCTCCACCCTGAAAATTAAGGAGCCTTCTAAAATGTCAACTTCTGCTTTTGTAACTGTGCCAGCACTGAACATGTCTGTGACTCCTCCTCCAGCCACTGACTCATGCTGAGGTCAGGCACAGGACACAAACCCCTAACCAGACCTCACGTGGATGAGCTTCCAGCAGTCCTGCGGTATCTGCATGGGAATAATTTAAGCCTCAGGATTTCTTTTTTTTTCTGGCTGAATTTGCCCACGGTGCAAGTTATTCTCCTTCTACGTACCTCAGTCTGCTTGTTTTAAAACTAGAGATTAATCCATTTGCCACTTGGAACAAACCACCAATGGAAAGTTAAGCTAGCATTTTCCTGCTGGATCCAAAAGACCTTACTTCCTATCACGATCTACCTAGAATACCTCCCATAAACAAACTTAAGAAATTTTGCCAAGTTTCCAAAAATTCACAAGCCAAGCATGAACACAAATGCAATACTTTCCAATACTCAGTAGCGCACTTTGTCATACCAAATGAAAACATCCATCAAAAATTAACATTTCAATATACAGATTCCTATCGTGACCTCCTGCTGCTGATCCAGCTGAAATGCAGAACTGTCACTTCATCATAACTTGGTGAAATACTGTTTTATTGCTCATACAGTGCTCTTCACAGGTAGACCCTTTCTGGAGTCAGCACTGCTCACTACACTGAAGAGTTGAGAAAAATAGGACTGAGATGACATGACTCACAGCAGATTGCCACAGTAACCAAACTGGGAATAAAGCCCAGATCTTAGGCATCCTAGACTGCTGCTTTCACTTAACCAGGCAGGTTTTAGATTCGGGAGAGAAAATGGCTTTCATGACAATGCTGCCTTCTCTTTTCCTCATTCAGGCTTAAAACAAACTTCAAGAACCAAAACAACCCTCAACCCTGACTTGAAGAAAAAAAATCAACCAAGTTGGATGAGACTAAAGACATCTTAAAATTATAACAAACGATGTTCTTTAGTCAAATATAATACAAGAATGAAACACATTCACAAGGGGGACTGATTACCTTTTCCATCATGCAGAATTTAATATAGTCAGTCATGGCTGATGAGACACAGCATCCAGAGAGGCGGGGCCAGTGCAGGCCACAATGTTCTCCTCTATCACCCCTTGAAACAGCTCCACTACTTCAAGTGTTTCAGAAGAGTCTTGATTCTCCTGGTGATTTTTATTTATATCTTCAAGACCAATAAAATCATCTGAAAAATAAACCACTTATAAACTGCAGCCAAAGACATCTGAAATTATTTTATGTAGTTTGGCATTTATAACATGTCAAGATAGAGTACTTCTAGGACAAACTTTCATTTAATCAGAATATTCTTGATTTTCCCTTCTAAACGGCCTACAAAATAAACTAAATCTTTCATGTTTGTCTCTGATGCAGGGGGAAGACTGAGAGCAAATGTGTGTGTGTTTTCCTACTCTTATGTTTCTTCTCAGCTCTTGAAGAGCATCCTTTTCTCTTCTGTAAGAAAAAAGCCCAACTCCTCTCCTATTTTAGACAGAAAATCCTATCAGCTTCTAGGGAACTACTACTGTGTATTTCTAATCTCATTATAGAATTTGTGAAATTATACTACACTAATATGGAAATCATGGACAATGACAACCAGCAACCTTATCCCATAATGTCCACACTGCAGGAATTAATGCAAGCAGAAGTCCAAAGCTTCCCATGGATCCTGATACCTCCTCCTGCTCAACTGCACGACCTCCAAACTGGGGAGCAGCTCTGTGGAAAGGAAACTGGGGGTCTTGGTGGACATCAAGCTCAGTATGAGTGAACAGTGTGCTGCTGTGGGAAAGCCAATAGGATGCTGGGTTACATCAATGGCATCTGCGGCAACGATGTTGTTATCACACTTCACTTTTCTTGTCAGGCCACACCTGGAATACTGTGTTCAGCTTTGGTCCCCGCTATATAAAAAAAAGATGCGGACAGGCTGGAGAGGGTCCAGATTGGAGCCACAAAGATGATCAACAGATTGGGAAGCCATATGCAGAAAGGCTGAGAGAACTGGGTTTGCTCAGCCTTGAGAAAGGAAGGCCCAGGGGAGACATGATCACCATGTTCCAGTATTTAAAGGGTGGCTACAAAGAAGACAGAGACTCTCATTTTACAAGGAGTTACATGGAATAGACAAGGGATAATGGATACAAAGTTAGTCCAGGGAGATTCCAACTGAACACAGGAGGAAAATTTTCCACAATCAGGTCACTCAATCATTGGAATAATCTCCCACTGGAACTGGTGGATTCCCCAGTGTTGGACACTTTTAAGATTCAACTGGGCAGTGTGCTGGGCCATTTTGTCTAAACAGTTCTTTTGCCCAGAAAGGTTGGACCAGAGGATCCTTGAGGTCCCTGCAACATGGGAGTCTATTATTATAAGCTGACATTTTTAGTTATCATTTAATTTAATAAGTTGAAGATGCTCAACCTTTTAGAGAAATAAAATCATTCTTTAAGACTTCTTCAAGCAAAACATCCTACTGATCTGGAATAGGTAAACTTGAGCTAAGTATTGGATTAATTCTGTACAGGAAACTTCAAAAGCCAAGGAATTTCAGCTCTTGCAACACAGTGACCACAGCTCTGCCATACTATGTGCACAATTAATGGAGGCACAAATTCATCTGTCACATCCTAAAGCTTTTGCACAGAGTGTTATGACTCATTTGTACTGAAAACCTTCAACATGCTTCAGCATTAACTATTCTCTCTTCTGAACAAGAAGTATTTTATACAGTTCTTGTATCACAGAATATACTTACCAGCCAAGGCGTTTCTCTGCAATCCACTTGTTTTCTGTTTTTCCTAAAATAGATAATAATAATCCAGAGAAAAGAAGTAAGTACGTGACAAGGGAATTTGTTATTTTGGGGAAGAACAGTGTTCATGCTCTATTTTATAATTACTATTTCATTGTATTTACAGGATTTTCCTCATTTCCACTACCAGACATTACCGTGCTCCATAAATAAAAACAAACCTTCACAAAGCAACAGTCACAGTGGGGAGAAAAGTAATTTGTAAATTACCACTTTCTACCTAGAAGAGTACATAAACCATCCACCTTCTCATTGCTGGTATTAAAAACCCACAAAGCAAATTTACTAGCAAAGAACATCATCTTGCTTATGAACTGAAGAATTCCTCTTTACACCTGGAATATTGGAAAGCTTTCAAAAATCTCCTAAAATTCGTACCTCCACAGAGGTCTTCCACAGTAAATAGATCATCTTTGAAACTTTCCAGTCAAGAGGAACTATATAATCATCTGGCAACAAGGATTCTGTAGAAGAAAATATTTTGTGCAGTTGAGTGTTCAGATCTCTCCATAGCCAAAATATATCACTGAATTACAAGTTTTGCACACATTATATATATAGACTTAAAAAAAACCCCACCACCGATATTTAAATGAGCCAGCAGCAAACTCAAAATTTAGGTTTTGTAGAATCTAAGGCCAGTGCACAGGAAGGGTAGGAGGGGAAAGGAGATTTGGGTTTGGTTTCTTTTATCAGGCAAAGACTTTCCTACCATACTTCCGTTTCCCTGATATACTCCCTCAAAACTGGGTGCAAACAAGAAAAATCAATAGCTTTCAGCCCACAAATTAAACAAATGCCACTTAAGTAACAACCTTTATATTTTTAAATGTTGAATTATAGGAATTTGTACAATATCACTAAACAAATTACTTTCTAAAATGTTCTAATGCTGTTTAAAAAGTTGAAGAGATTCTTTGTAGGAAAACAGTCCAAAATATATTCTATATGAGAATGACACAAGCAAGTCAGTAACTAAATCTTTCGTTTCTAAATAACCAAAAATGTTTACCAAAAATTTTCCCTCCAAAATAATAATAATAATAATAATAATAATAATAATAATAATAATAAAATTACTGCAATTGCCAGTGTTGTAAAATACTGTAGTTCAAACGTGTACATGGATAAATAATAGGTAACAGGCCACAGGAAAGAACTTTTGAACCTGTAGGAAAATTATAGTGAAATCAGAATGCAGACAAACTTCTGCAGACAGCAGGCTTGTTTTTGATGAAAAAAGCCCCAGCAAACACCTGGCAGGGCTTCAGAGAGACGTTGGGGTGGATTTGTACTTCTTGAAGGTTATTTCCAAAGGAAACTCACTAAACACCAAAGAATGTCACCTGTTACTGACCTGGAGGAGAACATTTGGTTCACTAACCTACTGAGTGTTGCCTGTTCAACTCCCCCTTCAGAAGATCCCTGTTTTCAAGTCATGGCCAGCTCCCTCTAAGATGATGAAATTTAAGATCACAGCTATGAAGACTCACCAAGTTTGGAGGAGAAAAATGTCTTGTATATAACAGTAGAGGATATGAGCGGAACTTCCCTGCTCTGTTGAAGCGGAGCTCTACAAGTCAAGCTTTTTGGTGTGTGGTGCCAGGTTTAGATGAAGCAGCTTTGCAGGTCCTTTGGGGACCAAGCTGAATAATGCTGCCAGTGGTTTGCATCACTATTCTGCAGGTAGCATTGCCACCAATTTTTACAATAAAAACAAGGAATCCTGAGGTCAGTTTGGGCAGATAAACAAACAGAAGTCACCTGTCACCTTAAAAATGCTTACATGAAACTACATGCTTAACCGAAACAAATAGGTGTAAAGGTCTATGTGCTGAAAAAAAAAGTAGCCCAAAACAGTCTGTTTTTTAATCCTATTTGTTGGCGAAATCAAAGTTACTGTTTCTCCACTGACAAAATTTGGACCAAAGAAGTTGCAGAATTTCACGCACAGGAAATCCATGTCTTAGTGTGATTTCTAAACAAATGGCTGTTCTTGTTGATGGCTACAGCTCTGTAGGCTTACATTAGCTTGTAGTAAAAGCTGGAAATCACTGTTGCCACACACAACTACTTTGACGACTGATTGCCATTTTTCTAATTTCTAATTTCTATTTCTAATTTCTAATTACAGAATTAGAAATTTCTCATTTCTAATTACAATGATTAAAATGAAAGTACAAAAACATGACAATTGGAGCTCTGGAAGGCAAGTATATAACACTGTGGCACTTAATAACGCAAAAATGATCAGAGGGGTAGAGCACCTCTCCTATGAGGAAAGGGTGAGAGAGTTTGGGTTGTTCATCCCAGAAAAGAGAAGACCCCAGGGAGACCTATTGCAGCCTTTCAGGTCTTAAAAGGGGTCTTTAAGAAAGATTGTGAGAGACTTTTAACAGGGCTTGTTGTGATAGGACAAGGGATAAAGATTTTAAACTAAAACTTTACTAAATAAAGAAAATGGAATATTGTTATATTAACCAGGTAGAATATAAAACATGCAACCTTTGTATTAGAGCACACATTTTGTACCACGTTTTCATATAGTTCTGCGATCAACTCAGTAGGGTGTATTAAAACATCAACAAGAACTTCATCTTTTAAAGAAGTAAGGTTTTGTAACTAAAAAGACTGCAAATACAAAGCCAAACCAAACAGCACCTTGACAGAGAATGAATTTTACATTAAAAAAAACCCCAAGTAATCACCAAGGCAGCAATAACTCCTTTCAATAGGATTAATATTTGATTCACTGGCACCTAAAATAAAGTATTTAATCATGGGGGGTTTTGTTTGTTTTCTGGTTTTGCGGGAGTGTTTTGGTTTTCGGTTGTGGGGTTTGGGGGGGTTGTGGGTTTTTTGGGTTGAGTTTTTTTGTTTTGGTTTGTTTTTTTACATAGGAGTAGTAAGAATAGTATTACCTAGGGGAAGACCTGGAGAACCAAAGAGCTGCACAAGCTGAAAAGCAAATCCTAATGATAAGGGAAGTCCCAGAAAACTACATGCTGTATTCACATCTTGATTATCTTTGAGTTGTGAGGCCTCTGCTGGCTCAGTGTCATCTGCTTCCTGCACGTTTTCACTGCAGCTTGCCAGCATACTGAAATCTTCGGAATATTCAGAAACAGCTTTCACAGACGACAAAATATCTGGTCGGCTGTTTGTAACCTCTGAAGAAACTTGTTCGCTTTCGCCCTCTTTTTTACCAACTACCTCCCGTTGCTTAAGAGCTCTAGCTTGTTCCTTCTTCATCCCGGAAACTATGCAAACTCTGAGAGAATATTTTGGCATAGGAGAAGACTGTCCCAAATGAATGCAAGAAATACCATGTAACAGAGTATCTGAGTCTGCAGTAGGCATGGAATAGGTTGCCTTGGTGCCACTGAAAGGTGCAGAATATTCCTGCAATGCACGGTCCTGTTCACATTCTTCTCTGTGGTTCTTGCATAGAAGGCTCTTTTTCCCCACTTCCAAAACACTTTTCTGGGGAACATCATCTTTTATTGGGACTTCCTTCCCTCCATCTGTACTACCATCAATCTGTCTTGGTAGATTGAACTTTGGTGCCAAGTTGACAAATCTTCTGTATCTTTTTCTCTTTGATGTAACTGGTGCAGCATCATTTCTTGGAATATCTACTTCACTTGAACACTGCATGAAGGTGGTCCTGGCATCCACCAGGGAATGAAACTGCACTTCACCAGCTGCAGATGCTGACAGACCATTACTTATTACATTACCAGCCTCCTCAGTTACTGTTACCCAGTGGTTTTCCTTCACCAATCCTTCATTTGACCAACGGCATTTTAGCTGTTTTGAACTGTTCCTACGAGTCTGTTTAGGTTTTCTCATTTTTGGGAGCCTTTGTTCACCTACAAATATATTCTCAGACCAAGAAGAGAGAGAAACTTGTGTATCAAAGCCCAGCTGCAATTCCTCAGTAGGTAATTGGAAATTAACTGGAAGAAAAGTCTGGGCATTAGAGCTGTTCTCTTTCGCTTTTACTGCATGTGTGTCCTCTGTGTTATTACCAAGCACATTATCATGTATATTTGAATTGTAACACTGAAAGATTTCTTTTCCTTCACCACTTAACAGCTTAGTTTCCATGTCAGGTTCAGGTGTACTTTGACATGATCTGAGTTTGTTTTCTTTGCTTAACAGTAGGATGTTATAGTCTTCAGAGACGCCTTCTGTTTCCTGGATAGAATTTTTCTCATTTCTTATTTTTAGGAAACTGCTCCAGCAAAGATTTTCTATGTGCCTTTGATTTGTTTCCTTATCACCTACCGCATTTTTCAATAGGCTATCAGTAGAAAAAGGTTTTAGATCTATTAGAAGTGAACTGTCACTTTCCACAGGCAATTCAGTTTTCAGTGCACTGCTGGTCATTGTTGAGACCTCAGACAAAGTGATGGGAAACCCTTCTCTTGAAACCCCTGCAACTTCTTTCAGGCTTTCATCACCGCCATTAGGCTGTTCTTCAGAAACTGTTACTGAATCCTCTGGACCTTCACTGAATATACACAATGATTTGCTGTCTTCTTCTTCCAGATAATCCTCTTCACTTCCTGATGTGTCCTGGTCATCTGGAACTGGATGATGAGCTGCTCCACCTAACATTTTCTTTGTGACTTCTGTAGGATTACCTTTAATTTTTTTGTTTCTTTTTCGCTTTCCCCTCTGCTTTGCTTTTGTAGACAGGTGCCCGTGGTTTTTCTTTAAAATGATCTCCCTATGTGAAAATAACAATAATAAAAAAATTTAAAAAAGCAAAATAAATGTCAGTAATAACACACTCATTGTGTCCAATTTGAAGAATAGGTACTTGACATTAATATGATGATCAAACACAGAACATCTGCTTCTTTAAATAAATAAAATCTCAAATAAAACTTTCTATTTATTACACAAATGTACATGCTACAATTCAGAACACTCATGAACATTTTAAAACAACTTAAAAACATAGCTGCCATCTCATTAACTTAGCTTTACAAAAGTATCACAAATCACTGCAAGACCAAACAACATGTTTCTGTATGTCTTTGTGATGTTTGAGTAAGAGATACCAAACAGCAACTGCTATTCTGAAATTTCATTAAATGCCATGCTGAGCAGAAGGGTACTAAATGGAGGATGTAGTAAGCAAATTTCATCCATTAAGATTAAATGGACTAATCTGATTTGGACTCAAATACAAAACATACTAACAAAAAATTTGAATAATGGAAGGGTATAGTGACTACAGTAACAGGTATTTACTGCTCAGAATATTATGTGTCGCTGCATATGTATTTGGAAAAAATATTTCATATTTTACTGGCAATAATACAGTACTGAAGATTTAACACAGTTTTAGGCAGTTATTTACAATTAGTTTTGCATCTCTCTTCAGAACATCGGATTTTTATCTGCATTTCTCATCAAATTGAACAGATAGGAGCCCTAATGGTGACTTCCCTGAAATCTTGGCATTAGCCCACGAGCCAGCTAACCCTGAAATGAGCACATGTAAGAAAAACCTACTGCAAAAATCTAACTTCTCCCTATAAAACTCTCCAGAGAGAAATGAGACTTTCAAAGCTAAGCTTGACTGCAAATCTTCATATCAAAAATCTGCTTCTTTTCTGTAATTCTCTGCTTTTCTGTAACCCTTTGTTCAGGATGGTCCTTCACACAATACACTAAAGCAAACAAAGCAGCAGCTACAAGAATTATAATATTGAAAGTGGGTTAGAAGAGAAAATTCTCTGGTTTTAAGAAGCATAAAACTCCTTATCAGCGAAGTAAAAAATGTCACATTTTTAGTTGTTTTTAATGGAGTGGGGAATAAAACATCAGACTTGTGCACCAATTCCAAGAATACTTTAGTATTGTATCTAGGGGCCCTTGTGCTGCTGTGCAACAACCCCACAGAAATAACAACCAAATTACCCAGGTCAGCACTAGAAAGGAATGGGCTCACTCTTCCAGTCTTGGTATCATTATTGTAGCTACACTCTTCCTTACCACTCACTTCTCAACACGTGTGAATTTGCACTGCTACTGATGGATGTGAACTTGTCTAATACTCAAGCATGTTTCTGGTGCCTGAAACATCTGACACCACCTTCAGGACAATGCTGACAGAAACTCTTAGGCTAGGAAGCCACATCAAAAGGTATTGTAGAACTTGGCACATTCATTTCCTCTCCTTGCCATTAATTCTGAACCAATAAGGAAAACCACACTGGATAGGATTCACTTCAGAATGCAAGAACAGCAGATATACATCCACCAAATAATGGGAGAACCACCACCCAGATAACCTAGAGAAATTAACAGTTATTATTGCATTGAAATTGTTGCATGTCAAAATATAATGAATGCAAATGTTGGTCCAGGTTGATGATGTAGTGAGATTCAACAGTTCATAATAAATATAACAGCCATGTCATTTCTTTGGTTTGGAGACACGGACGTTTTACAGCAATTCAGCAAAATTTGTTTTCTAAAGGTCTGGAACTCTTAAAGATGGGACTAAAGCAAAAGGAAAGTGATGAGCAGAATAAGAAAATTTGTTATTCTTCTATTTTTCTAGGCAACATTTATTTTCCAACTGCTTCTAGGAAAATACTACCCCAAAGAAACACTGTAATGAACCATGATGGCATAGCTAAACATTTCCTTCTTGGGGTATGCCCAGTTTCCTATTAAGATTTGTGCACTTAATAAATCAATTTTTCCACTAGTTTTATTTTTCTCATAGTTCCTCCTCTTTTAGTCCACCTATGTGCTTTTTGAGGATTTTTCCTTATTGTAAAACCATATGGCACACAAACACTGAGAAAATTCAAGAACCAGCATGGAGATAGACTTTTCTTTACAGGGGCATTTGCTAGTGAGTTGTTTTTAAATGCATACAACACAGGCAAATGGGTCAAGAAGAAAAGTACCAGTTTCAGTAAAAATGTAAATTTTGCTATATATTTAAAAAAATGAAAATTAAAAAAGTTAGCAATAAACAGGTCTGAAAACCATATAATATTATTTTTATTAATGTAGGAATTCCCTTTCTGTACAACACTTTGGTTTTTCTCAGCCTACTGTTCAGACAATATTAAAACCTTTTTGCCATAACTGTTATATGTGACTTCAAAGTTGTAACCTACTGCTCAAAATAGGACTGTCCAGCTTGATTAAGAGTCAGTGCTCAGATGACACTCTTTACTGGAGAAATAAATGCACTTTCACAACTGCTGAGGGGGAACATGCAAAGTAAATAATCTAAAGGTAGTAGTCACATTTTGCTAGAAAATGGCAAAACCAGAAAAGAGTCATTTATCTGTAGTTGTACAAACTTTACCTCTGGTATACATCAAGGCTAATGTCTGCTTCTATCAAAAAATGCCTGCACTCATTGCCATAATGAAATACAGAAAAGAATCATGGAATCATTTAGGTTGGAAAGACCTTAGAGATGATCAAGTCCAACTGCTAATGTAGCACTGCCAAGTCCACCACAAAACCATGTCCCTAAACCCCATATCTACGTGTCTTTTAAGTACCTCGAGGGATGGTGACTCAACCACTTTCCAGGGCAGCCTGTTCCAGTGCTTGACAACCCTTTTGGTGAAGAAATTTTTTCTAATATCCAATTCTTAATATCCAAGCAATACAGAGGAACTAACACATATAAAAAGCAATTCTATATGACATTTAGCAACGAGGTACATGCTCTTTCAGAAATGTATGTCATCATTAATCTCTGAAGTCTCTGAAGTGGGTTTTAAACATCAAAATTATAGTAGAGCCACTTACATTGAACAGTTTTTACTGGGATAGACTTCACCTTTTCCACCTGGTAAGTCCAAGTGCATTGCTGAATTCTTTGTGACCTAACTTCAGCAACAAGCAAAAAATGAAGTTACAATTTCGGAGTAACAAAAAAAAGTCGTGGTGCCAGCCTTTTTGTTACATATCTTGGTTTTAATACTGAAATGAGTGATAAAGATCCAGTTCCTCAAAATCAAATAAAATATTGAAAAAAGAACAACAACAACAAACAAAACTACAAACCTAAACCATTATATGCAAAATAGCTTGTCAGCATTACTTGGTTTCCTGAAAAGTGAAATTCCATTAGACAGCTGAGCATCCAGCTTAGCACCTTATTGCTCCTGAAGGAACAGTCCTTGTCACCTTTCCCGATCTTGTTCCAGATGTTGTCCCTGCACTTCCATTACCTGCCTTTTGCTGGCTCTACCACCTCCTTGTGGTTGATTTACCTGCCTGAGCCAGCATCAGAAGAAAGCAAGTGCATGTTATTGTTGAGCTGATTTAACTAACTAGAGCAGTAAGCAGAATGTCTGGCTAAGACAAAGGAAGTGGTGGGTAGGACTGAGGTGACTGCTTTCAAAAGCAACATATTAGGTTGCCTCACAGCCCATTTAAAGGAAATTCTCTGTAAGTGATCTGTAAGAAAAGTGCATATTACAGTGTTGTAAATTAATGCTCCCCACTCCAAGTATCCTACTAATTAGATATGATCTGAAGTAACCCAGTATTTATAATTCTTCTGCCTCCCAACAGCATTGCCAGTAGTGCTGAGATTTAAGTACTGCCTTATGAAATAGGCTAATTATCACAATGCTCAAAGAGCTACTCTAATCTTTACCATTTCTACAGGACTGATGTCTATACAGCTCCTTGCAATGTATAATGAGCCACCAGACTGCTGCTCTGTTACAGGCCAGACACAAGAGACACTGATCTAGAGAAGAGACAGAGAATAGCATACAATTGGTTTGATCAGAGCATGCCTTTAGAGGCTGTTCATTTAATGAACAATGCGGCAAAGTGCAACCACTTTACTTAAAAAAACAAAACAAAACAAAACAGAAAACCCATGCCCAAGTAAAACACTCAACAAAACAACAAAACCCCCACCAAAGTCACCAAAATCCCCAAGTGGCTGAGGTGTTTGTAACAGCAATTCAGTTTCAAGTGAGCCTGTTCATTCCCCAAGGAGTTTCAGGTGGGGTGATCTAACTGATCACCCCCCCTGCTTCATGAAAGTCATAAATGTCTTTTGACTGAAAGATCCAATCTCCTATTTCTGCTCCTTAGTCATACAATATGCTGGTTGACACTAAGGAAATAAATCCTGAATATACTGACTGACACACAAGTACATACTCACTGAATATGCTTGTGGCCAGTACCAAAAGTCTACTTCCTGAACAAGTGAAACAACTCAAAATCTGCTTTCAACCTCTTGTAGGTGCCACAGATCAATCTTGCCTGACACAGGTCAAAATTCTAACCAGAAAAAACGAGTAAAATAAAAATAAAATCCCAGCACTAAAGGTACTGATGGATGCTGACAGAAAAAACACCATTTTCTGTTTGACTGCATTTCTTTGCACCATTAAGTATTGCTTAGTATTAACAAGCTGGTTAAGGAGGAAAAAAAGAAAAAAGGACAAAGTGAAATGCTACAACTGATCTGAATCCAACTTGAGGGGATGTACTTACAATACAGAGAAGAAACTGCAGTTTATCATCAGCTTTCTCACCCGTGAAGGCTCATAGAATCAATTCTCATTTAAGTTCTCTCTGTCAGTGTTTAGTCTCTTGAAGAGAACATGATGGACACACATGCCAATGTTATGTACTGGAAGTACAGTATAACTCATCTTGTCAAGTTTGATGATATCAATTCTATTACTTAGATGATACCAGCTCAAGCATGAAGACAATCTGACTGAAATTAATCCAGGCTAGACATGAAATATGCTACTCTGAGAAGCAGTCTGGAGAAATAGGAACTATAGTCTAACTGGCACTAATTAATAAAAGTTTGTTGTGACCTGCTCTGCAGCAATGCTCCAAAATTTTCTATTGCTATAAAGTCATTTATATATGAGATTTTAAAGAACACTTTCAAAAATCCCAGGATAGAAAAATCCCATTTTCCCAGACAATGATCAATCTCAGTATTTCACTAACTACAGCACTACTGCGTATGTGGATATGAAGCAAAGGATATGAATTAAAGTGGTCTAAATCAACAAAATTGGAGCAGAGATGTGTAATTAAGTATCCACCAAAGCACAGACCATAATTCTGGGAGCAAAAGTACAACTTCCAAAAAAAACAAGATGATGCTGCAAACTTAATGAGGCTAAGGAAAAAAAAAAAAAGGAACAAAGGAAAATGGATGGTATGACAGAAAAATTGTACTTTCAGCAGAACAAGAAAAGCATTCAAAAGGATAGCTGGGGGGGGGCGGAGGGAGGGGAAGAGAAATATATAGATTCAGTTTTTAAATCAGCATCAGTTTGAACTGAAGCATTAAAGAAAAAAAAGAAAAAAGCATAAGGTGCAGCTCCCCACACAGGTTTACAGTTCAGGAAGAAAAGGAAAGGGGGAGATGTATTCAGAGTTATGAAGACAACTGTACCTGAGCACAAAACACATCAGACAGATGAGAAAGATGCAATTCAAGAATAACAGGAAAACAGGAGGGAAGTTGAAGAGGAAAGCAGTAAGTAAAACAGTATCAGTAGCTATTAAGTAACCAGCATCTAACCTAGATTGTAACAATTTTAAATTTTAAATGCTTGTAACCACAATGTTGCTTTTCAGAACATCCGCTCCAGGTATTCCACTCATTCTCAAATGCTATATGAAACAGAGTTCCACAGCATTCAACTATGACATGCATTCTCCGGAGGGTATTACACCTTTTCAACACATCTCAGTCACACTTGGTCATAGTGGTATCCAGCTTTTACTTACTATTACTGTGTATTACTTCCTGGCATTGACTCTTCCCTTTTAAACATTTTTCACCAAAAGGACTAAAGATACACCAGTGACACAATGAATTATCCCTTAAAGATTATTATTTTTTACAAAACAGTCCTGCATTATTTCTTGAGTGTTGGAGATGAAGAGCTGCAGAAAGCCGTCTTTCAGTTCTGATATATAGCATCAACAGAATTCCGTCTTTGGACAGAAAATAAAAGACTACTCTAGATAAGCACTAACATATGCCAGAATTTTCTAAGTCTGGAAAGACAGTATAACTTACAACAGACAAGTGGTAACAGACACTGTCTGAGGGAGGAAAAGGGGCATCAGCTAAAGGCACTGTCAGGAGCTTGTAAGCAACTTTCCCAATATAGCTATGAAACAAAATAAAACAAACAGTACAGCCAGTTTTGCTGTAACAGTTAATGCCAGAAACTTAGTGCCCACTTGAGAGTAAGAAGAGAATCACACACTGCTGTATTAATTCAAGCCTGCATCTGACACCCTGAAACCAGGCAGCAATGAAGTCTTCTCTGATAACTCTTCTGATATTCTGGACACTGCTCTCACTATATTCATTAGAATACAATAATTTATGTCAGAGAGGGCCTCTAGAGATCTCATGGTCCAGCCCCTGATCAAAGCAATACCAAGATCTCATTCCTCAGCACCTTACCCAGACAAGTTCTGAATACTCCAACGATGGAGAATACACAACCTAATATCTGATTGGAATTCCCTGTGTTGCAACCTCTAACCATTGCTTCTTATCTAAAAGGAGCCTTGCTCCATCTTCATACTCTCCCACTAGGTAGGTGAAGACGCATTAAAGCGGTCTTAGCTTCTCTTCCTTAGGCTGAACAATTTGTTTCTCCCAGTTTCTCCTTGTGTATCAGGTGTTCCAAAGCCCTAACCACCCTCTGCTCAACTCACTCCAATGTCACACCTTCCACATACCAGTGAGCTCAAAGCTTGACACTTTCAAAGGCAACACAAACTAATGAGGCAGTACACAAACTTATATAACCTCTTTACAAGCTCAGTTCCCTACAGAGCCTCAGAAAAGTTAAACCATAGTTAAGTATCTTTGCTCACAATAAACTCTCTCCTCAAGACTTAGGGCCAAAAAGGACAGCATTATGAACTTAATCTAAGTATTCATTATTAGAAACAAGAACTCAGTCTAGTCTGTTGGAACAAAACAGAAACAGAATGAACGCTTTGGATCTTCTATACATAGAAGAATGTATAGAAGAATATACATACACAGAGAATTCCATTTATACTCCTATATATAACGCAATTTTGCTGCACAGCCGTATGTACAGTCTTCTAACTGCAGTTTTCATAAAGTGAAAATAGTTTTGAAATGCTACCATGTATACCTCGCTGCATATTTAGGGATCTACCAAACAGCTGCAAAGAGCTGCAGATGAAGCTCAAACATGTATACCTGCCTTGCTTCAGGCAAGGACTGTTCCTTCAGAGCATCTACTTATGCTCTCAAGACCCCTGTGAAGCAGTGTATTCACCTTATAAGCAATACAGGAAAATTATTGGGAAAAACACTAAATGGGAAGAAAGTAATATAGTTAATCCACTCTTAGGTCAGGTTCACGAGCTTTCAGAAACTCTTGATGGTTAAGAGCAAGATGTGGGATAAGCTGTTCAGTAACTTCTTATAGATTACTACAACCTACAGTATAGATTACTAAAAGCCATAGCAGATGAAGAAATAAAACAAATAGAAGCATAATGAATAAAGTAACAGCCAAACTGCATTATAGGCCCATGACTAAGACTTGTTTGTAAATGATACAATAAACCCCTTTGAAATAACAAATGTTTATTCAGTCAGCTAAAGCAGCACTTCTTGTCTGTTAGTCATTTAAGAGATTAAACAACACCCACTAAGGAATACATGCTTTTTTAAATCCATAGAGTTAAACAACATGCAGGCACACAAAGCATTTTTCTACTATGTTTCCATAAAATCTTAGAATACCTGAGAGTTAGTATCAGGAAAATACTTTAGAAGGCCAAGCAGGATGACCCACACTATTATAAAGCAGTTGCTCGCCCTAGTATCAGTTTCACAGGCCACAAAGGAAAAACTGAATTTGATTAACAACCCAAAAATAAAAATGTTTAACGTCACTAAAAAGACTGCAAGTACAATAAAAAAAATATTCTATGGATACAATATTCTGACTTGGTATAACATGGTATTGCTACAACACATGTATCAGTACGGTGTACATGAAATGGTCAAGGACTGCCTGCCAGCCTGAGAAATGAAGCAGCAGCCTTATCAGCTCAAAGGAAACTGCAAAGACCCATTCCAGGTGCAATACTTCAATGTTTCTATTATTCTCTAGCTAGAATGGCATTGACAGGCTATCTCAAGCTAAAAACACCACTTGCTGCTTCTCTGTCACTACAGAAATAAGTTAGACAAATTTGCAATGATCTGGCCTTGACAAACCGTATTTCTCACTACGTTATCTTCTAAATATTTAAATGACCAGCTGTGCTTTCACATATTTTTCTGTGAACTCTAAAAAGGATGATTAACAACTAAATTCAAGCAATGAGCCTATTAAAAAAATAAACCCCAAATTAATTGACATACAAGTAGGAAATTATCACACCTAGGAGATTATTACTAAAGAGCTTTAATCTCTGCTCTTGCTTTTATTTCAAAAGGATGAGAGCATAGCACACTGAAATGAGAAAGGATCACTGCAGAAACACTGAAGTGAAATATTTCCACATCTCATCTATGTATTTGAAACATCTGATTACTTTTAAATTGAGTACTTAATTGCAAATTCATGAACTGCATTTCAACACTATGTCTTCTTATTGCTCTCTACTGGGAACTGTAGAGGGAAAACTCTCAATTCTCAACATGGACCTTGGCACCTCATCTTCACCATGTACCAGCAAAGGGAAAACACTTCTTCCCAAAACCTCAGCTGCTAGGAGGAAGCAGCAGTTAGAACTACAGGTAACACACATCAACATAAAAATATTATTTTTCTAATTCACTAAAAATGAATCCAACTGTCCAGCTCAAAGAAGAAAATACTGAGACAGTCTAAAGTCCATCAGGGAAGACATCTACAAACCACTCAAACATAAATGTTATGGACCTCATCTCAGCCTAGTTTTCAGTTCTATTAGCAGAGAAACACTCCCATCTCTGCAGAAGGTTTCAAGAGATAGATTACAAAAGACAAAATATTGGTTTTCCTCTTATAAGACAAAAAGCTTAAGAAAAATTATGCAGTACAGTAAACTAGATTAAATGAACCTAAAGAGGACATACACACAAGAACAGAAGACAGAATTCCTCATAGGACCTCATTTAACATTGCACATTAAAAAGTTCATACAAAAAAGTGTCACATTATGTTTTCATAATTTAATCCCAGCCAGCAACTAAGCCCCACACAGCTGCTGACTCACTCATCCCTGGGTCGGATGTGGGACAGAATCAGAAAATTAAAAGTGAGAAAACTCAGGGGTTGAGATAAAGACAGTTTAATAGGTAAAGCAAAAGCCATGCACTAGCAAAGCAAAGCAATGAATTCACCACTTCTCATCGGCAGACAGGTATCTCCATCTCCAGACAGCAGGGCTCCATCGCCTGTAACGGTTACTTCGGAAGACAAATGCCATCACTCCAAACATGCCTCGTTTCCCCTTCTTCCTTCTTCTTCCCCCTGGTTTATATGCTGAGCATGACACCACATAGTATGGGCTATCCCTTGGGTCGGCTGTCCTGGCTGTGTCCCCTCCCAACTCCTTGTGCACCCCCAGCCCACTCACTGGTGGGGTAGTGTGAAGAGCAGAAAAGGCCTTGGCTGTGTGTAAGCACTGCTCAGGAATAATGAAAACATTCCTGAATTATCAGCACTGTTTCCAGCACAAATCCAAAACAGCCTATACCAGCTACTGTGAAGAAAATTAACTGTATCACAGCCAAACCCAGCACTATAGTTCTTCTGTGGTTTGGTGTTGGAGTGGTAGGGTTTGGGGTTGTTATTTTGTGGGGTTTTTGTTTGTTTGTTTGTTTTTTAATTTTGCTTGTTTTCTTTTTTTTTCTCCTTTTCCTTTCCAAAAGAAAAATAAGAAAACTAAGTCATTCATCAAAAACAAGGCTGATGGAAACTTCTGATAATTCAGGAAGTAAACTAATCAAACAGAAGCAGCAGTTTAGACAAAGCAGTAAAACTAGAACTGTTTTTTCCCTCTAGCAATATGTAAGCTTATATAGCTGATGATAACTGGACAGCTATATGAACCAAATTATGCATGTCCTGCAAATTTATTCTCATTTAAATTTCATGCTTCAAAAAATAACATGTTTAAACGACAGCTGAATATCTTAACTATACTGTTTAAATTTACTTACCAAGCATCTTACTGGTTCGAAGCATGCAGCAAGATACGAATGCTAATTCTAATATTCAGGTTCCATGTATTAGTTGCATTAAAAAAAAATAATTCTGATACCATTTCATGAAGTGTCACAAAAGTAGCTAGCAATTTACTAAAAATCTAAAACAACAGGATACCTTCATTCTAGGTCATCATCAAAGGTTATCAAAAAACTATGCCAGACAGTCGAAATTTTTAACCTCCCTGTCTCACTGAACAGCGAGCTCCTACATTTCTGGTACATCCTTTTCGACAAAATAAGTAACTTTCCTTGTTTGTGAGGAAGCAGGACGAATCCAAATACCTGCAATAGGTATTTCACATTATTTTATTATTTTACATATAAACAGTATAGTGTAAAAAACTTCTGAGATGTATGTATGACCATGACTGTCATATCCACATGAAATATTAATATACCATGAAACAAAAATATGTTACACAGACAGTAATTCCACCGTGTTTTCACCTACCATATCATTGTACTTACCTGGGAATATTGCTTTATAAATTAAGCAGTTTACAAGAAATGTTTCATACAGTGCCAAGTTGCAAAGCAAAGCACTCATTTTTTGTTATGTGTCCTTTGCAAATACTGACAACATGCTTTGCGTATAAAAAATACTCACCAATAACTTATTAAAAATACAGCACAAAAGTGCTGCATCATTTTAAAATAGCATGAATTCGTATATATTTAAATACAGATTTCAGTTGAAGAAAACTTAAATATCAATTAAATATTGTTAAAAAATTAAATCTATTTCCTTTAAAAACTGAAGATGGAAGATACCAACAGATATCATAACATCAGCTTTCAATAATCTGCTCTTTTTTGTCATACCTTAACACATTGTGAGTATTACAAAAAGCAGCAAGAAATTTTATCACTTTATTATGGCTTAAGGTAATATAGAGTAAATAAAATGAGTCTTTCTAAAACCTTTTTATCTTCCACTTGAAATATGCTTGCATGTTCAAACGGAAAACTTTCGGATAATTAAAGTACTACTGATCATTTACAATGATTACTGTGACTCTTCTGAGACATGGAAAGAGATAACCACGAAAACTAAAATACAGTGAAGTAACTGGTATGAACAACAGAGAACGAGGGAAGACAAGCGATATAGCAGGAAAGCTTTTTTTACATACAGACATAATTTGATATATTAACAATCCATCCACTACTGAAGTATTTTAAATAATTTTGCAAGTAATTAAAACAATTCCCAAAATGTGAAACTGCACACTTCAACTTTTATAGTCAGCAGAAGTGTTTCTGAAAATTATTGCAGATATACATCAAGTTGCACAAAATTAATTTGCACAATAGGTATAAAAAAAATATTTCATTATATACCTGGACTTTCAACTTTCATGGTATTCAGGCTTTAAAGATGATGTAAGTTATAGGGCCTGTTGAAAAATTGTCTGTAAGTAAAAGACATTATGCTGGCTTTGGAATTTTCAAAATTCTGATTACTATTACACCAAATTAGCGATAGAAAACCATGAAAATTCTTTTACTACATACTCGTGTTCTTGACAAATGCTCCTATTCAGGATTTACTCAGTGTATAAGGAAATCAAATGTTAGGTTATTTCAGGTAGCAGGGTAGTAATAATGCTCATGTGCATAAAATCCTACAAGCATGAAAATAATAAAACTGTTGCACTGAACTACTAAAACAACATAGAGGAGAAAAATGATTTATTAATACAACAGGCTGTTAGAAAGCAAGCAAAGTTATTTTAAGAGAAAAAGGGAAGTAAATTAGTCTATCTCCATGCTGGCTTATTCTTTGTTATGTGCTGATCAGATTACATCGGCTATGCCGAAACTGGGAACATAACTGGTTTTACAGAATTATATGCACTATTTATATTGAATTGATGCATCGCAACTGTGGACTTGGACTTGACAGCCTACTGCTTTAATATTTCATTTTTATTATAAATAAAACGATTTGACTTAGAAAAACATAGCTGTGAAATTTTGGGTGTTCAGTGATAAAATTTAGAGAGTTTTAGTCAGCACGAAGAAGCTGGTGTGCAACTACCATCACAGTTTATAAACTACCGCTGAGAACAAATAAAAAAGTAGTTCAGTTTGTACAGTTTAAGGCTGGTGAATACTGTATTGGCAAATACTGCTTCAGTTGCCAGATGAGCTTCTAAGACAAAAAAAACCCAAACTAAATACCACAACCGAAGAGAAAATACATGCCAAAATTACGCCGATTGGTAATACATGCAAAAGAGAACAAAAGAACACTCCAGGACAAAACTGTTTTTAAAAAACATCTCCTAAAAGAAGACTAAATGACAATCATTAAAATTGGTTATTATGTAAATCACCTCCTCTTCTGGGGCTTTATTTATCTTTTAAAAGAAGATCTCCAATATGACCTCTTCAAAAACACTGCTCAACAGTTACTTTACGTATGACAACATCATTGTCTTCGGTTTATGAAGGAAGACTGCTATATGTCATACTGTATTAAATTATTTTACCAAAATCAAAGTTATTACAACTGTAATAAATATAGTTTAAAAAACCCCACCATTAAATGTACAATTTTATTTACACACAAGTCCATTAAAGGAGCAACCTCCAGATGAAAATAGTCTTGAAAGAGGCCTATTTAAAACATAGAAGATCCACTGCTTTACTGGAGGTGATGATGTGTTTTAGAAGGGCAAGTAACAGATTTTTATTAACTGACTGCAACTGTTATCGGTTACTGGAAATACTGAAAGAATTCCGTAAGTCTCTATTGCCTCCCCACCTATGTCTTCGTTGCAGAGGTGGCCTTTGAGTGTTTTTGTGGGGAGGTACCACTGAATTCATGACAATAGGTATGGATATTTGATATTCATATCGTTCCAACATCTGAGCAATCTTCTCACGAGTGACCCCATGTTTATTCCTCCTACAAAAATAAAAATTTAAATAAATTGTTTGGTATGTTTATATGTCTACATTCTTTAAGAAAAATAAATAAATTCTTTCACATTATTTCTTTCTGCTTTTCGTATTTGAAACTTCACTTTTATTACACTGTACCTTCATTCAGTATTCAATTTGTGTTAAAGTTTTATTTTAACAATTCACTACTGCATATGTTAAATAATAGAAAAAACTACAGTCATTCTTCATACAGAAATGTGATGTTATTCTCTAGGAGTATGTACCTAAATAAACCTAGAAAGACCTTGTTTTCTATTTATTCATCAGGTTTTACATGATATACTAGCTATGCGAGTAGAGGGATGGAAAATACTATAGATCAATACTTGTGAAGGCAATGTTCAAACTAGCTACTTCAGTGAGAGCTTAGCCTATTAAGAACCTGAGGCATTAGACATTACATTAGAATGTATCCATCTCCTTAGTATTTAAGGAATAGGATCTTAAGGTCCATGTTAGCAGAAAATTTCAGTCTCTGCCATTAAAGAAAGTCACGAGTGTCATGCACACAGTCACAGAATTGCCAGCACTGTAACAGAACTGAATCTAACAGAACAGATATAAAAATAAAAAAAGTTTTGATAAAGTAGACAAGCATTTATTTTAACCCAATACATTCTTATTACTATGAAACCCTGTCCAAGCTGAATTATTTCCAAGTCATACCAATAGTGAATATAAGCCTGCATCTTTGTTCTTTCTGCTGGGGACAGAGAAAGCTTGGGCCTCCTTACCAACCTGCTTAGTTTTGTAGGGGAGAAATCAATACTGGAACCAGGCTACACTGGAAAGAGAATACACAGAAATAGAGTGATTCCCTCCTTTCTTCCCCCTCTCCTCTCCTCCTCCTCCAACCTCCTGTGAGTTTCTGGGAAGAAAAAGACCTAGAGTTCTTCTCTCAGACACTCTTCCCTAAGACAACATCAGATACTAGAGTGTCATCCAGGGGCAGCAGCATGTTGAACTTATCAGTTAACAAACTCTTAACAGTTTTGACCTTCTTCAGAGATACAAAAAAGGTTAATAGTAGAGAAAAAAGCCAATCTCCTAGGAATAGAGATTCTATAAAGCACTTGACTCTCATGACAGAAAAAAAAACAAACCACAAAACCCTCAAAACCAAACAAAACCAGCCAACCAACCAAGCGTAAGTCCAAGTCCTTTCATGTCATGTGGTGGAAGCATAGAGTTGCTCAATGTTTTCCATATCTTAGTGCTCCTAGAAAAAGATTACAGCTCAACTGCTCTAGGCATAAAGCTCCCACTCATCCACAACTGGACGTATGTATAAACACTTCATGAATGAGCAAGTACTTTTCCTTAAAGAACAAGCAGGATAGTAAAATCAGTGAAAGCAAAATCACATCAAGCAGAGAAATTAATTTTAAAAATTAAACAAATCTGCTGCATAGTGTCACTTAATACTGGGATCTTCCCCTCAGGCATGTCTTCACTCACGCTTTGGAGGCTTGGGTATGCTGAAAGAGCATAAAGCCATCTATCCTTAACCAATCAGATGTACCAGCAAAAGCTCCTAAGAGTTAGTTACGTTTTGGAAGCTGCTTTTGCTTGGAGGAACACAATCTATTGATAAAAGCAAAGTTCTGTCACTGTTAAATCCTTCTACCCTAGAAAAATCTTGCATACCAATTCACTGGCAAAGTAATCTTGCATAGAAATGACTATTTAAAAGAATCAGCACAAGTTTATTGAAGTCAGTACCAACTTGCAGTTTTATGATCGTATGAAGGAGAAAGGATTAGATTAAACGTGTTTGCATTTCACTTCTGTGTGAAGTTACATAGCAGGTAACTTTACAATTAAAACAACATCCACCCCACATACAGATTATACACAGGTTTTTTAGTCCCTAAAACCTTGAATCAAATGTATGGTATGTTTTTTAGAAAAGTTCTAGTCCCCAACTGACCAGCTACTCAGAAAGACATAAACATGACACAAGGGATTTCTTTCATCCAACACCAATTAAACACTTAATAAAATTTTAAAACCCCTCTCTTATACCAGTGATTTTGACACTCATTAGTTCTCTCCTGCAGTTTTGAAGATTTCCTAAAGATGGGATCAAAGTACAAAATCCTTTATAAAAACGTATAAAGAAGTTTTGAGCACTAATGCAAGTCATGTCTGTGGAGTCAAAATATTTTTACAGAAGTTCCGTTCACAAAACTAAACTAAAAGCAAAATCACTCATGAGTGACTCTAAAGATAATCTACCTCACAGGCACACTGAAGAATAAGATACTGATACCTAGTTCATGCTAAAAAAATGTATCACGTTCTTGACATCAAGAATTCACACAGTAATGACCTAGAGAGCCTTTCCACAGATTTCTCAAACACACTAAGCAGTGGCAGAAACAACCCTAACAAGAAGTATCTAGAAATGCACCTGACTTCTAGAATATAGACAAATCACTTGATAAAAGTTACAAACATTCTAGGCAGCACCACTAAAAGCAAATCAGAAGACTGTATCTAAAATATAAGAAAAGTCTTTTTGCTAATTAAAGTAGGAGGTAGGGTATTTTTCATTCCAACTACCAGAAACAGAATCTTAAGTGATCCTGTTTAGAATTCGAATATATGAATGCAGACAACTAATTAAATTATCCAAATTCATTATTAGCACAGTGTTTGCCCAGGCACTGCACAAAATGTTTAGCTTAAAATTCATAAGGGGAATCCCAAAACTACAGTATCAACCCTATTGTCACCTATTTCCTAAACATGCAAACATGGGGAAGAGAGAAGAGGTGAGAAACGACATACAAAAAACCCCAAACCTTAGAAATTGGGCCTTCTCCCCAAACAAATGAAAGCTCTCATCACCACCTTTCCTAAACTCTCAGAAAATAAAGTTTCCAGACAATTGGCCTCTATTCAAGTATTTAAAGCAACTAGAGCTTCTGAAACGTTTCTAGGAAGCTCATAGGAACTGGTGGCAGTCCTTCACAGTTCAAGCTGTTTCCTTTGGTTTTAGAAAAGACAAACTTTACTTTACAATAAAATTCAATGGTAACACTACTTCATGTTTATCCTGTTACCTGTTAAGACCATGTGAAAACACCAATTTTCCTGGAAAATTAGTCTCTCCCATGCAATGGATATCTCACACTGAACATCTTAAAAACATCTGATGACCAAGACAGCTTGGCTGTGCTGCACCCAGAATTAGATGAATTTACTAGAATCCATCCTGTAGACAGAGGACTTCCTCTCTAAAAATAAGCTACTGGTAGCTTAGGAGCAAAAGGTGAAACTTTACAATATTTATAAACAGGAAGTATAATTCAGTAATGTAACTATTATACACAAATACTTCGTGCACTGTAGGGGCTACTTTACAAATCCGAAACACCTACAAGCCATGTCAGCTGGAAGCATATAAAATAACAATCAGTAAGAGAACTTTGCGATAAACCATGAAGGTACTACATTCCAAACAATGTAATTTCCCTAAGTTGGTTTGATACCTCATATATTTCTCAAGCAGATATATCGGAGATGAGACATTAACCAGGAATACTAAGCAGCTTCTCAGGAACTCTCACAACTCACAAGTCCAGTGACCTGTGTCCAACAGTACTTTAAGTCAGGTATTCTGAAGACTGGGGACAATTTCACAAAATCTTGCAATAAAATAATCTAAAATATGAGCTTTCTTTTTAACCTTTACACTCCTTCCAAAAGGTGTAATTTCTTTTTGTCTTCTACCTATTTCTTGCCATCAGTGCTTCGTAGCAACAAATTTCTAAGAATAATTATTGATTATAATAGCAGGAATCATTTTTCTACTCATGTCCAAAAAAATTTGAATATTGACTTTTTGGGCCAACAAGACCTCTACTTATTTGTCTGTTTATCCATAATATTTTCATGTACAGATACATCTCAAAATGTGTATTTAAATAAAATAAATTTTATACTAGTAGGTGAGTATTTAAAAAGCATAAGATACTGAATAAAATACAAAGTATTATATATATGTGCATATTTATCTGCCTTTCTATCTTGATATGTAACTACAACAATTTTTGTAATATAAACCTTACTTTTCTAATTCTTCAGGATCAAACTTCCACCAAGTATCTGGCTCATGGAACTCCACTCTGTATCCCTTTTCTAGAGCCTGCAGCAAGCAAAGAAAAATTCATGATATGTGTATCATGATTATATAAAATGTAACAAAAGCTTTAAAGGCCAATATAATAAACAGATGTAGTTAACGCTGCGGTGGCAGCATGCTAAATTTCACTTACCCCCCACCTGTCTTAACATTCATTCCAAGCTAAACAGATTAGGTAAAGTCAATCTTTACACTGGTCTGAAGTATAGCCATACCAATTACTGATCATATCAATAAGCTGTCTATTTTTAGAAACTTGACTAAGGAAAACGTATCTGGACAAAACACACCAACTTATACATATGAAGGTAAGTGTGAAAACTTGTCACAGATGTTAAAACCATACAATAAAACCTACCACTTCCACGTATGGCTTCATTTCCCAGGCTTGAGTATTAGTGTTGTCTATTATAACTGGAGATTTTCCCTGCTCCATCGCTTGCTTTGCTGCAATGGAAAATAGTGCAAGTTAATAAACAACTATGTAACTTTAATGAATGGTAAATGTAAGTAAACAGTTCCAGATGTTTTTTGCACTAATCTAGTCTGACTGTTCTAAGAGAAGGAATAAAAGCACTGAAAGGCAGAGACAAGAATGGAAAGAACTAGAAGCAAGAAGATCATAAGCAGGTGGTGCTGAACTGATGCAAAGGGGTAAATGGGAAGTATAGAAGTCAAAGTAACACAATGAAACTGCTCAAAGTTTTGCTGAGTATAGAGATCCCAGCAGGATACCGTATCCTGGTTCCAGCTTTACCAGCACTGCTGGATAACACATGGTGCATTCATAACTGAGACCTGTGGTTAGGTATTGCAGTCCTTCTCCAACAGACTGCTAAGAAATAGGTGACTTTCACAGAAAGGCATCACATATCTGAAATATTTTCAAGATCCATTAAAAAAAAATAATTACAGTCATGCTGTCTCCTCAATAATGTTTGAACTCACTGGCCAGTTTCTAGCAAATCCAAAAGAGGGAAAAAGCCTCAGGAATAACACGCTGCTTCCAAGTTCTAGAAAAGAGCAACTGATAAAAAGGCACATCCAAATTAGCATCTTTACTGATGGAAAGACAGATCAAGCACAGCCACCGTGCAGTTTGTTTGGCAGGACACTTACACACCAGCATGCTTTTAACTTTGGACTAGAAAGATATTACTGCTTCTTACTCAGCAGAACTGTCCTAGAGCTTCCAGTGCAGAGGTGAGAACGGTTGGAGAGCCATAGGAGACAAAATATGCAAATGTGCTGGCTACCTGAGATTCATCAGCTCCACAGCACAGAAAACATTTTAATGTTAACCTGATGCCTAAGGTGGTATTTCTTCCTAAGACCAAGACTGCTTTAGTCTTGATAAATCAGTTAAATATCTCTCTAATGCCTAAACCTAACTCTGATCTTGAGATCAAACATTCTTCTAAACTCCTTACACAGTCTGGAAAGCATTCCCAGAGGACTCCTAACTCACATTACTAGGATTTGTCCCCAAAAAACCCTACATTGCACAACCAGCTTTTTGGGGCACGTCTATAGAGAGCATGATGATGACATTCAGCTTCTACATAATCATTCACAGAAGACTTGTTCAAAAAATTGAAAAACTCAAGTTCTATACCCTTATCAGCTTGATATCCACCTCCATTTTATACAAACCTGGACAGCAGTTTAGCTCTTCTTACCAGAAGTTTAGAGGACCTCCTACAGAGGAGAGTACCTGCCAAGAGACAGTACTTAAGTATCCTACTTTTGGGACAAATGGACTACTTCAATTTTCATAGTTTTACTTCCTTCACCTTTTTATTCTGAAAGGAAGACCTCTGCCATTACTTGCCAAAAGGGACACAACTTCTACATCTTTAGAAAAGAACTACTCTGTGCATGGATCAGTAAATTAGGTTCTTTTTGCAGCGTGAAACTAAGCGAGATGGAGAAGCAGATATCCAACTTGTATTGGGGTATCAAACTTACAAAGAAGATTCCTCAACCTACAACTATTCAGAAGTCAGGCTTTTATAAAGTCTATTCCTCGGCTTCTTTGTGCCTCAGTTAATCAGCAAAACCATAACTATAATTCCTTATCTATTTCACAGAAGAATTATGAAGACAAATTCCATAAAAATTTAAAACACCCAATTGCTCTGATGCTAGACATTGAAGCCAAGGAAAAAAACTCAAAAAAAAAAATCCCCAAACCCACCAAAAACCAACTTAGTTCTAAGTAGTACTACCAATGTGACCCACAAACACAGCAAGAATTTCACATTTCAAAATTTTTGCAGAAAAAGAACAAGGATTCAGTACTCACATTATGGTTGCAAACTAAAACTCAAGACTCTGAACCTCAGGAAATACCTGAATTAAGGTTGGGTGTGTAGTAATTATAGGGCATACATATTACCATACTGTCCTTAGATACTCATTTTGGGCACTATTCCCTCCCATGTACTCCCAGCTCTTTCAGCACATGATGGATTTGTTCTGTAGTTGAATGGGGGGTATGCATCACACCATCAGCATGACCCAAACATTCTTCTACAATTCGTTTTTCTTTTAATAAATGTGACATAAATGAGTAAGTCGGGATGACTGCCAACAAAGAAAGATCATAATTCAATGAATGTTTCTGAACATCATCCCAGCGCTTTCCAAGTGCCAATATGTTGCATGATCTTCATTTTCTTGCTGCCCAATTAAAAAAGTTCCAGGTATCATTTACAGAAGTGATATGAATTCATATGAATCGGAAGACAGTGAAACTACATTCTGAATATGATGTTTAATTATTACTAGATATCGTGAAGGAAATATCTGAATTGCTAAATCTGGTATCTTAAACAGCAAGATGTTTTTAGCAACTGTGCCTTAGCTTGCCAATAAAAAATTCAGAATGTAATACCACTAGTGTTCACAGGAAAGTTAAGATGGATGAACTAGATGAAAGAACTGAAATATCTGAAACTCAAAGGACTAAAATAAAACTCATACAAAGAAAGTTTCCAGGAGAATGAATAATGTTCCATTAAACAAAGTTAAAATAGTATGCATTAAATGAAAAGCAAAATCCACAATGAGTAGGAAGATTAAAAAAACACGTATGTTGAATACCTGCCCATTTAGTGAACACTGCTCAATCTGTTCACTGAATGAAGCAGGGATCTGAAGGAAGAAAAGCCCTAAGTTATTGGAGAGAAGTAGGGATTTATCTTGATGGAAATCAATCCATACAATGGGAAGAAATTAAGTTAAATGAACAGGCTGGAAAGTAGCTTTGTAGACGGAAGGGAGGAAAAAAGCAAAGATAAAGTATGTTCCAAGAGAACACTAAGAATTGATGGAAAAAGCTATTAAAAACCGAAAAATATATTAACATGGCACAAATGATATTTCTGAAACCCAAATCTAGAAAAGAAAGCTAGTAGGGTGACAGAAACAAGGGGGAAATCCTGAAATATGCAATTCAGAAAGATTCATAAAGATAGCAAGAAAATAGCCAATTCTGCAATGAAGATAATGGGACCATCATTAATCTGCAAAAGCCTGTGAAGTGAGATTATATTACAGCTATAGCCCACTTACATATTCTACCATTTTGTTTTAACTTTGGATCTAAGTGCTAAGTGTGCTGATGTAGCACCTTACATAAAGCTTTGTTTAAAAGTAAAAAGCTATTAATTAATTTTACTACCACTGACAAAACCAAACCAAAGAGTTTAAAAAAGCAGATAAACCCAACTTGCCCCATCAACGCAACAATGTTAAAAACATATCAAAGACAGCCAAAAGTTCCAGTAGAAGCACCAGGATGAACTAAAATTGGAAACATTTAGAAAAGCCACAGCAGTGAATGTAAAGGGCCTAAATCCCTGAAGAGTGTCACTGACTGACAACTGAAATCACAGTGGCAAACTAATTCTAAGATTACCTAATGTTTGTGCACTTAACCCTACAACCTTCACATTAAATGTGGATGTGTTTTAAGTATTAAGGGTATGTAATTCACTATCTTATTAATATTTGAGAGTTTGCAATTCTGTTCATCTATTTTTTTTTCCTAATAGGTCTGACTTGCAACTGTTTTTTTCCCCTCATATTTACTGTATCATAGATTCATTCCCTCCCCAAAAATGGGGTGTGTGGGAAGATAACTTTGAGTAATTTTTTCATTTGTGAAGAAAGTAAATTTTTGCTTTTTCCATAACTCTGACATGATTCTGAAGCTCTAGCTAAATATGTTGTCACTTGAATTTAAAAAGAAATATATATACATATGTGTATCTCATGTAGCTGATACGATCTTTATGAAACTTTAATTTAGACCTATCCTTCAGAATCCCAACTATCAGGATTACCACTCCCCAGCAGTTCACATTTCATGTATTTCAAAAATCCACACACAAATGAAACCAAGACCTTCTTAAGTACTTCAAGTCAGAGAGCTCTACCTAGTCAAAGCAAGAGGCAGAATTGACTGTAACTTCAACCCAAAGTTATTCACGTGAATGTTTCAGAGGGCGTGTTCTATACAGCATGGCACAGCTGCTCTTGTTCTTGCTATCAGAATCACTGAATAACTAAATTACATACTGTTCTGGTTATCAAAACCACTGTGTAACTCGTACAGAAATAGAGAAGTCTTAATATCAAATCAGAAACAGCCAGAAACCATTATCAAGTGAGAACTGTCCAGTAGTCTTATAATTGTTGAGCCCTCTCACCTGTAAACTGCTACCTTATCGACTCTTCTGCTCCTTAGGCTCCTACTGGGAACTTCAATCTATTTATTATTGCTGCACTACACCCTCAGATGTGCTCTTTATAACTGATATTCTAATGACTGCTCTAAAATTTCCTCCACTGTTCATACAGAAATGTTCCCTGATGTATCATCAATTTTGCATTAGGATGAGAAGGGGAGGAAAGGGGAGAAAATTTTTTCCCCTTGGCTCTCCATATCTTTTGATGCAAAGAAGTAGTCCTTTAGACAGAAAGGAAGCTTCTGCTTGAGGAAATGCAGCACCGACAATAATCTGTATGCACAGACAATGGAGTTGTTCAGTTTGTCAGCTCCTTGAAGCAGACCAAACAGATTGAGATTCTTGAAGAACTGCTACACAGAGGCCAAGATTCTGTCTGCTACTCTTCCTACCCCAATTATTTACTTCCTTATCAATTAAACCCAACCTTTGGACACTGCTAGGTATTAAGAAAAATTACTATTAAAACTGTTAATCTACACAACTGAACTAAAATCTTCCTCAGAAAAATTTTTCCATAAATTTTGGATGAAGCTCAGATTAGGAAAGATACTGGAAAAAAAAAAAAAGGATACTCTGCTGTTGGCAGAATTTAAAAGGTTCAAAAGATACTAATATCAAATGTAACAAATCAGCAGGTCATAACAGAAAGAAAAGACAATTTCTAATTTTAACTGTAAGCCTTCTATAAATTAAAAATTTAATGTATATGCATATACACACATTAATTAAAATATAAGGAATACTTTAAATATATACATCTATATACCCTATACTAATATATATACAGGTATATCCTTTTCATACAGACTGTTAACACACATGCACATTATGCTACACTTCTATCTTCTACATATAAGCATAATTTAATAGGATTCCTTCTATGCATTCAAACCTCTCTTCTGGTTCCAGTTATGGGCATCACCAAGCTGAGCAGCATTATATGTATATCCATCTTGTTGACGAAAATAATCATCAGTGCTGAACACAATGCCATCTTGACTTTGACCAAGCAGAATACTGTTAAACAAAGGAAAACACAAAAATACTTTTAACTTCTATTTTTCAGATAGATGAAGATAGACCCATGTCAAGAAAACCTCACAGAATAGTTTCTCAAAACCACTTAATTTTTAGGGTTGAGGTGGCACACAATAATCAAATCCACATTAATCCATCCCAATAAACAACCCTCATCCTGCCAAATGTTAACTTTTATTTTCAGAAAGTCCTTGGAAATTAGGGGTTAAGGGAAAACCTTGTAAAACTGAGACAAAAGTACAATTCTGTTTCAAGTCTGACCTACATAATAAGTCTGAATAAGTGTGATTACAAAACCTCCTTGATTATTTTTTGGTTTTGACAGTAAATTTAAATCTGAAAATACAAAGCAGTCAGCACCACAGAGTATTCGTAAGCCCATTGCTACAGCAAGATATCACTGTCCTATGGAAATTCAGGCAACTATTTCAGCTCAGAAATGGGCAGTATACCCAAAGCCTACAAAACTCAAATTGTACCAGAACTATATGGGATTGCACAATCGCTTAGGTGGCAGGAACAGAAAAGAACTGGCCAAATCCCAAATAATGTAAGGGAAGAAATGTATGTTAGTTTGAAGCTACCAAGTATGTATCTGCAGGAGACCTACTTAAGTTTAATTCCTACACAAGGAATTTCCTGTGTTCTGCCACCTGCCACTAACAGATCTGTTATGGATGATAGTTTAATGACTGTGATAGTGTACTACACATTGACTTACGTTCCTACGCATTTATTGTCCCATGACTATGTTGTTGGTTATTTTTGCTTTTAAAATACAGAAATCTGTAACAACAAAATTCAGATTACTGAGGACCAGAAGAAACTACTAATGATGCAACTGTCAAGTAACATGATCAAGGCTGCATATAAGCTGGTTTTGACTTCTTGCTACTTCTCCCTTTCCCTGAGTATTAAGGTTACCTTAGGGCAAACAGTAATGCTATTTCAGAACACAGAGCGTAATGTACCAAAAATATGCCTACTTCTTTTGGACACTGAACAATAATGACTTTTGTTAGAGCCTATGTCTTTATTAATGGTGTATTACGCTGGTTTATGAGAGCACAGAAGGATTCAAAGCCTAATTTTGTTCCAAGTAGATAAAATGGCACCAGTAAAGCATATACCACATACAGCAGCATTTTTCATATCTGTTCCTCTCTGATATGAAGTATTTAACAGTAATTCATGTTCATTAAGTTACTTGGACATGATTTCACACATGGTTCAATTTTCTTATTTAAAATATGCTACATTTGCAAGGAATAATGCTAAAAAACTGGATCCATCTTCCACATCCACTTTTTGTGTACACACATTTGGAATAGTAAGGATCATCTACCTTAATAAAAGAGATAGCAAATAGTAACTAGGATTCTTCTCCTAGATGAGTACACAGACACAGCCCTGCAGCTCCTGAGAATCCAATCATCAGGCTTCCGCAGGAATATATATACGAACTGATGAATCAAAACTAATGGGACTAATAGGGCATTCATTTTTATTTCTAGGAACTGACTCTGTTTGCTCAGTCTTCTGGAGAATAATTCACTTACTCAAATCTATTCTACCTTCCAAATATCATTAGCAGCAATAAAGAAACAATGACAAGAGTTAGGGAATCCTGTAAGCCATCAACATAATTTATTCTTGAGATATTTTGTTATTATTCCCCAAAGTTCAGAATACACCACAATTCATTTATGAACCTATATTACTGATACAACAGATTTAATACAGTAAACTATGTTTGTAAGAATAATCCTAAAACTACAGAATTTGTGAAGGCAAAGTGACTACCAAAGAAGACAGAGTAACAGAATCCTTACCCTATACACAACATACAAGCTACCACAAAGGAATGATTTTATGAACTGGAGCTTCAAGTATTACAGCAATGATTACAGCCTGTATCTAAATTGCGAAATCATAAAACATAACATTTTAAAAGCCTGACAATTATCCCTTTCAGAATTCGTAGTAATTAAACTTGCAAAATTTAAAACACACACTTGTCAATGTCATTTGGAATACTTCACACACATCTAACATGGTTTTGGAAATAAAACGTATCTAAGGTTCATTAACTATGAAGCAGAAACAACAGGAAGCACATCTATGCAAAGAAAGTGTTGTTACTACCTAAACCCACAAAAAAATGATATTCCACTTTTGAGCAGTGAAGAAAAGAACATACATACACTTCTAATGAGAATCACATTACAGATTAGTCAGCATCAATACGTGCACATGCCTGAAATGAGCAGCAGAATTATACAACTGCTGCAATCCAGCTTCTTCACCCTAAATATTCCCTGCAGTTGAACACCTACCTTTGAACACAGTAGAACAGTGAAATAAAAGCAGATAGGAAAATTAAAGCATCCCACCTACCTTTTTGAGACATGCTGTCTGATCTAATAAGCATATTAGTCCAATATACAGAACTCAACTTGAAACCAAATTACTCATATTTAATAGTCAGAAAACTGACACACATTTTTCCAGTGCATACATGTGCACACGCACACAAATCCTGCCTTAATTTTATTTCAAAACTAAAATGGTCTCCCAACCTGAATCCTAGTTAGCCTACTTCGACAGGTTATCTGATAACAAGGATCTCTCAACCTAATAATTCACCTATTTAAAATAGCTAAGTATCACAGATGATGAAAGAAAAAGCCAACAACTAAATATTCTAAAATTTATAGCATTACTAAGCTATGTAAAAGCTACTTTAAAAACATGACTTATAACACTGTTCAAAGAAATACATCACACAGTTGTTTCTACATTCAGCTATAAATACCAACTTTTCAACTTTTCTGTTCAGAAGATAGAGCACTCAGGAAAATGGTCTCAGATACAGATGACTCTTTATATATTCCTGACAATGGATTTAATTCAAAATGTACTTCTTAAATGACACCAATATTTGTCCTTTCAACTTCATTAAGCCCCTTTTTATTCAAATTCATGTTCAGATATTTATGGAAGAATGGAAAACTGAAATGGCTGTCAAGTTCAGTAGCAAAATACTCTAAAAATCCCAAGTCTGTTTTCTTGTAACTTTTTCCAGCATTGAAGATCATATTATCATCTAATTGTAGCAAACTTTTGTCACTTGGGCTAAAGATATCATTGCTGAGTATCTATCTGGCCAAATTATTTTAGACAATAGTCAATTACTTCCAAATCAAAGGAGAAATACAGCATTTTTATCATGTTTCATTATTCCAAGCTTTTCTCTGAGAAGTTTAGGATTGAAGAAGTAAAATTTTACAAAGTACGCATGTTTGCTTTTCCTGCAAGATTTTTTTTGGTAAATCTGCCCAAGCTGTAGAACTTTGAAATGACGTGTGCATAGAAAATAAAGCACTAATTTTTGTACAAAGTAAAACAGAAAATAGAAAGATTCTCACTGCAGTAAACCCATTCCCAAACAGAGCATTCTGGCAGCGGCAGGAAGCTGATTCAGTACCAATACTGCATTAATTCTAACAATGTATTTTTTTTTCCCAACACAATCTTAAGATGGCAAGAGAAGGAACAAAACTGGCCTAAAATAGAAAGGACATGGGAAGCATAGTGGCATAAATACTGGAACTAGAAACTTGGTGCTGGCAGCAGAGCTAACAAACAGGGACATGTCAAAGAGTGAAGTGCAGGGAAGAAAATGGTACAACAAAGATGAGAAGGAGATCCCACCAGCTGCTGAAACAGGGACAAGATGAATCTGTGAAGAAAGGGGATGGAGAAGGAACTGAGAAATCACCTTAGAATTTAGGAGCAGATGTGGACCTAGTAAGCACAGATCAAAAGCCATGGTTGGATAGGAACAGGGAAAAAAAACTGGAAGCTGATGGATAGAGAGGAACTCAGAGCTGTGATTATCTAGACCAGGTGAATTCAGGAAATAAGCTGATGAGAGGAGCTCCCCAGTGACCAGAAAACCATTAATGTTATGATCATACTTAGGGTAAGTAAAGACAAGGACCTAAGGAACTAAAGGCCTCACCTAATGTCAGTTCTGGAAAGTCAATGGACTGCATCCTCTCTGAATCTATTTCCAACATTTGAAGGAAATTAAGGTAATCAGGAAGAGACAATGTGGGTTTTACAACAGACAAATCATTCTTTATTGACTGAAATGCACTCTCTGATGAAACAACTGCCTTTGTAGATGAGAACAGTGATGACTATAACAGTTTGAAATTATCAAGACTTCCTATCATCTCCCATTCAGTAACAAGCAGAGTACAGCAAGGGATGACAGCAGGACTTTTTCATTATCTTCATCTTTAACCTGGATGATGAGGAAAAGAACTTGCAGATGACATCAAATTTGTAGTGATGTCCTACGTACCTAACAGTAGCACTTCCATCCAGAAGGCCACTGAGAAACTTGAGTACTAAGCAAACATCATGAAGCTCAACAAGGAAAGGAGCAAAGCTCTGAAACTGGTGAAAAAGAAACCTAAGCATTGGTACAGGAGGGAAAGCGACTGCTTGAGCAGCCCTGCTGAAAAGGATTTGTGTATTACAGTGGACATCAAACTGGAGATGAGCGACTGGTGTGCTCTTTATCTAGAGCAAACTACACACTGGGTTTTATTAGAGAAAATGTGGCCAGTAGATCAATGGAAGGTATCATCCACACTCTACCTGGCTCGCATGTGGTCAGTTCCAAAATACTGCATCCAGTCTGGGGCTTCCCTGTTCAAAAGACATGCTGAAAACCATTAAAGGACTGAACAGATACCTGTCAAGGTTATGGGCACACAGCCTTACAGAGAAGTTAATATCATCTGGGCTTGTTTAGTCTGGCAGTGAAGACAGTAAAAAACCATCTGATAATTGGCCTATTACAGTAAATAAGCCCATACCTGCACCTGAAGGAAAGCTTCAAAGATGAGGAGCCACACTCTACGAGGTAACAGCCCATGTTATTAACACAGGAGAACACACACAGATTATGTCTTGAGAATTTCAGTCTGGAGATTAGGAAGAACTTCCTTAGTAGGAGGAGAGTACTGCCCCAGAAAAGCTTGCAGAGACTGTGGTGTCTACATACTTGCGGGATTTTCCAAGATCAGGCTAGACAAAGACATGGCTGATCTTATCCAGTGATGGTGACAGACCTGCTCCAAGCAGAACGAAGGACCAACTGAATTCCACAAGCCTCTTCCAAAAAACATGCCTGTGATTCCAAGCAGCTGTGATGGAAGAGCTGAAACAAAACACTGTTCCTTAGTGGAAGATTCAGTACAGACATGGCTCAAGTCTGGGAGCAGAAGGACAAGCCCTTACTTTCACCACATGCAGACAGGAATTAAAAATTCCTGGGTCCTACTACTGCTCTGCTGTCATTTCATACTTGGGAAACCTGCTTGCAAGATGCATCTTATTCCATTCTAGTACTGATCCACACAGCTTATGTCAATTTCCTGCTTTTCTTTAACAGCTATTTTGGTAGCATAAGCAGTAGATGTTTGTCTGCAGGTACTAAAGATGCCAAGCCTGCCAAGATATCTTGGGTACTAACATAACTTTAGAAGACTATTTGTTGTCCTACTCTACACTGCAGAGTTCTATGATGTTAAACAGAAAAACATTCTCAATGTTATTAAGAAGAAGACTTATTAATACTTACATTTTCCCAGTAGGAAGCCGTTAATTCCGCAATTCCCCCCAGAAGGTACCTAAGATGCTGAGAAATGATTTCATTGCAATTAACAACTGCAGCCAAGCACTGAATAAACAAAACTGCATATAATGGAATACACTGAAAATCAAGTCCCACGCAGCTCGAATTCCACACCTAAATTTGGTGATTATTCTTGACCTTGATCTCATAGTCCCACTTTCCCATCTGTTAAATAAAATTAGTAATTTATCTCACTAGCGAGAGATGAAAAAGCATTAATATGTGTTCTTAAAATCTGAAGATGGTTAGAATCTTTCAGAAAATACAAGTAATATATTTGGAGAAAGATTCAGAGAGAATTCAGCACACTAAACATGGAAAACAGATTATTTTATATCATTACATTAAGTATCATAATTTCTGTAATAATAATTTTCCTATCACTACAGTCCCTAATGAAGAGTCCATCCCCAGCATCGTACTGGCCCCTTCAGAGACTGGAAGGCTCCTGAGAGGTCTCCATACAGCTTTTTCTTCTCCAGGCTGAACAGCCCCAGCTTTCTCAGCCTGTCTTTACACAGCAGGTGCTCCAGTCCCCTGATCATCCTCGTGGCCCTCCTATGGACTTGTTCCAACACTTCCATGTCCTTTTTATGTTGAGGACACCAGAACTGCACACAGTACTACAAGTGAGGTCTCATGAGAGCAGAGGGGCAGGATCACCTCCCTCGACCTGCTGGTCACACTCCTTTTGATACAGTCCAGGATACGGTTGGCTTCCTGGACTGCAAGGGCACACTGAAGCCAGCTCATGTTCATTTTCTTATCGACCAACACCCCCAAGTCCTTCTCTGCAGGGCTGCTCTGAATCTCTTCTCTGCCCAACCTGTAGCTGTGCCTGGGATTACTCTGACCCAGGTATAGGACATTGCAACTGGCATGGTTAAACTTCATAAGGTTGGCACCAGCCCACCTCACAAGCGTATCAAGGTCCCTCTGGATGGCATTCCTTCCCTCCAGCCTATCAACTGAACCACACAGCTTGGTGTCATCGGCAAACTTGCTGAGCGCACACTCAATCCCAGTGTCCATGTCACCAACAAAGATGCTGAACAAGACTGGTCCCAACATGGATCCCTGAGGGACACCTATCGTTATTGGTCTCCAGCCGGACACTGAGCCATTGACCACAAATCTTTCTGTGCTGCCATCCAGCCAGTTCTTTATACACTGAGTGGTCCATCCATCAAATTGATGTCTCTCCGATTTAGAGACAAGGATGTCGTGCAGGACAGTGTCAAATGCTTTGCACAAGTCCAGGTAGATGATGTCAACTGCTCTACCGCTGTCCATCAGTTCTGTAGCCCCATCATAGAAGGCCACCAAATTGGTCAGGCAGGATTTCCCCTTAGTGAAGCCATGCTGGCTGTCACCAAGCACCTTGTTGTTTTTCATGTGCCTTAGCATGCCTTCCAGGAGAATCTGCTCCAAGATTTTGCCAGGCACAGAAGTGAGACTGACTGGTCTGTAATTCCCCGGGTCATCCATTTTCCCCTTCTTTAAAATGGGGGTTATATTTCCCTTTTTCCAGTCATCGGGAACTTCACCTGACTGCCATGATTTTTCAAATATCATGGACAGTGGTTTAACGACTTCATTCGCCAGCTCCTTCAGGACCCGCAGATGGATTTTATCAGGTCCACGGACTTGTTCTTAAGTTGGTCTTGAACCAGATCCTCTCCTACAGTGGGCCTAGGGTCTTCATTCTCACAGTCCTTGCGTATCCTTCCAAGACTTGGGTGGTGTGGTCAGAGCCTTTGCCAGTGAAAACTGAGGCAAAGAAGTCATTAAGAACCTTAGCCTTCGCCAAGTCCAGGGCAGCCATTCTTCCGATAGCTTCTGGAGAGGGCCCACACTGTCCCTAGTCTGTCTTCCATTCGCTACATACAATCCCCTCTTGTTACCCTTATCACCCCTAGCCAAGTTTAATTCTAACTGGTCCTTTGCTTCCCTGATCTGGTCCCTAGCTTCCTGAACAACATTCCTGTATTCTTCCCAGGCCACCTGTCCTTGCTTCCACCTTTTATAAGCCTCTTTTTTCCCCTCAAAGTTTCCTCAGCTGCTCCTTATCAATTCAAGGCCCCCTGGCCCTCCTGCTGCACTTCCTTCTAGTTGGGACGCAACACTCCTGAGATTGTAGTCAGTGATCCTTGAATATCAACCAACAGTCTTGGGCCCTCTAGGGCTATATCCCATGGAACCTTACTAAGCAGGTTCCTGAAGAGGCCAAAGTCTGCTCTCTTGAAGTCCAGGGTAGTGTGCTTGCTGCATGCTCTTCTCACTGTGCTGAAGATCTTGAACTTGACCATTTCATGATCAATAATACCCACAAGACACACAGCTTTAAAAATGTACATTTGCAAACCAGAGCAGCCAGTAACTAGACGATATTATAGTTAAAATTACTGGATGAAGCTCTATCAGTAAGTATGGTATCGTATAGCACTCACTGTCTGTGCTCTATGGCACCTTAAATGTTTTTTCAACTAAAAAAAACAACAAACAACAGTGAAAATCCAAGTTGGAAGTGGTACCTGCTTTTAACCTAATCAGACTTCAACAGTGTATTTTTAAGGGAAAATAATACCTTCCATGCGTGTTGTTCACAAAGAACCAGAGAAGCTGATAGACCACAGTATGAAAAAGAAAGGCAATGAGATTATGATCAGTTTCATCAACACACTGAAAACAAATTAAGTATTTTCAGAGTAGCAAAATTCTTCTAATGATCTTTGAAGATTTCTGAACGAGCATAAAAGAGTAATTCTGGTTCAGTGAAATTAATGCTGTTACATTTGATGGAAGACCTTTTTATATGAAGAAATTTAAAAACAGGGAAAAAAAAGCAGCAGACATCACATACTAGTACACCTGAAAGTTTCAGAATAAAAGATTATGCGATTTAATGGGTACAGAATATTTTAAACTCAACACAAACCAGCTCCTGTTCATCAAAACTTTAAAGAAAACCAAACCCCAAGCAAATACAGTTAATGCTTATGGACATTTTTCATTAAAAATGAAGCAAAAATTGCTGCATTTAAATAGCCAACTCTACAAATACCAAAGTTTGCCAAGAGCTTCCGCATATTTATTTTTTTTAGTTCTTAAAATTTTTTATGTGAATAAGCTTCTCAAGATTTAAGTCTTTACTTACTGAGAAAGTGTTGTTTTCCCTGAACCAGGCAGGCCTCTTAAGATGAGGAGCAATTTCTGTGAACAGCTAGATCTTTCTTCAGTTAACCGCAAAGAAGAAAAACTGTGCATTCCTCCTGTGTTGGCAGCTTTTGGATCCTTCCAGCCCTCTCCTCTGGTTTCACAGAAACCATTATTTTGGAGTCCATTCTGGTCATCATTTACATTTCTGAAGACCTGAGTAGTATGGGTATCAGCATGACCTGCATCGTTGATACTTTGATCAAGCAATGAACCATGACTGTTATTATCACTATTTCCATGGTAACCATAGTAATTTTTGTAAGAAAGGTTACCATTCTGAGAAGGGAGAACATCAGTTTTTTGTGGTGGGGAATGAAGAACCTGAAAATGCTGGTTGAATCTAGGAGGAAAAGGTCCCTGAGGTATTATGAAGGACTCTGCTGACTGCCAAGCAGGTCTGAATTCAGGCACTGAGTAGTTCCAATATTTAGAATCCTCTTCTCTATCAAAGGTATTTTCAGTTTTCCAGCCACTTGTTTCCATGACAAACTGCTGCTCATGGCTTGTTTTCTCACTGCTCTGTTCTTCATGTCCATTCTCATAATACGGTTGTGGGCTGCCCAACAACATGCGTTGACAATCCTCCTGTGACATCTGACTACAGTCATATGGAGTACATTGTTCCTGAGAAGTTTCAGTTTCTTTTTCCTGAAAATTGGTATCTATATTTTCACTTTCCAGCTGGTAAATTTCTTTATAGAACTGGTCCAGTTCATCATCTATTTCTGATACAGCAGAAGTAATAGTCTGTGTCTTCTTTGCCTCCTTTCTTTTATCTCTGCTTTCATGCAATCCATTCTGCTCTCCCTCACTGCTTTCATTGCAACTGCCAGATTTGTCCTGTTTGTTACTTTTGTCAGGCTTGTAAATTGGTCCAATAAATTCTGTGCTTGTAAAAAAATCTTCATCCAATGCATTTTTATTTACTGAGAATGATGTAATGCTATTTTTAATATTATCTTCACCAACATTATTTGTAACAAAAGGGTCTTTTTCTTCAGCTTTAGTGTCATTTATTGAAGCAAACTGAAGATTTACGTTCTGCACAGCTTCCGAATGAAGTAGGTTATTTTCAGGGAGCACTTTATTCAGTGTTCTCATGACACCTGTAGGTATTTTCTCTTGCTTCTGCATTTCATGTTGCCCTTGGTCATCTGAGGCATACACTGTTATCGAGTCATATGATGTTGTCTCAGTATCCACTTCTTCCTGAATATCTTGGTTATCATCAGCAGAGAGGTTCTCATAGGCCTCTTCTGTTGACTTCATTTTTTTAGAACATGGTTCAATAATGATTTCATCCTGACACTTCAGGAGAGTTACTCTGCTTTCAGCATGAAGCATCTTAGAAAACAAATAACATATAATCAGCATGCACATTCTAAAAGTAATGTATAAAAAAGCAGAAGTTATTCAGGCCTATGACAGGCATCCTCAGACCCTCCACAGTCACAACTAAAATGCACTCAACCAGAAGAAAAGCAGAAAGCACCAACCAGGAGTATTGCTTAAGCAAAACTGCCACATTATTAAACATCTTTAGTAAATAACTACATTAGTGCTGTACCAGTCCAGCATTCGTGTTTTATAATACACCTTAAATAATTTACAAAAAAACTTCTAAATGTGAATATTTGAAAAATTAATTACATCAACAACCTTTGTTCTCTACCGACCTATGTTAACCCATCAAGTGTTCTAAATCTCTTTTATAAGATAAACATGTGCCAATTTCCAATGCACAAACTGATACCTGACATCCCTCCTAATATGACCAACGATAATGAAAATACTTCCATTACAAGGATTATTTCCTGTGACTGAACAAACTGAAGTCAACTAATTCATTTAACACCACTCATATACTGGATGGCATTTATAATTTGGTACTAGTCAAGTAAGACTCAAAATTACATCTGCAGTCTGTTATAATGTGCCTGGGTTTAGAACGACTAAAGACATTTGTTAGGGACCAAGAACACTTGTTGCACATTTTCTAAAAATAAACACTAAAACCCAATCCCTGCCCCAAACAGACTGCATTCTGAGTATGAGCCAAGAAGTTCCAGAAAGATTCAGAGACAAGAGCAATTAAAAATAAAGCAAGATGGTCCTGACCACTGTGACACACCATCATGCCATTAGCCATCTATTAGAATTACTTGGATTTTCCTTTGTATTCAAGAGGTCTTGACAGAATGTAATAAAACCCAAGTCATTTTATTATGAATCAAGTGCCAAGTATTTTATTCAGCATATTACACCCCCCCATACAAATGCAGCACCTAACAAGAAAGTATTTTTCCTACTAGAGGGTTTATTCTACTTTCTGTGCACAATCCAACTTTCTAGGAATAAAATATATATTTAAAAAAAAAGTAGCTCATGCCTTTCACTCTGACCAAGAAACTAGAAACTAAGGTTTTTTTTAAGTTTTTTTTCCCTCTTTATCTGAAAAACACCTATATGTAGTATTAAGCAAAGAGGTCTAAGTAACATTTATTATCTTAAGCTTACTTGCAAAAATGATGTTACTCTAGGCACATTCTCACCTACTATGCAAAGAAAGAGAATCTTGCCATCCTCAGTCTCAAAATGTCTAGACCAAGGAGATTTTACTGTTTGCATTTGACCTCACTACTTGGAAGACAGTGTTAATGTCAGAAGAGGGAAAAACATGGCCATGCAACTATCCCTCTTCCTCAGAGCTGGTGGAACAATGTTGTGCGTATAGTCTCCCCTCTTCTCAAGATACATATATTTCATGCATTCATCTAGTTTCTCAGTTCCTCCTTTTTGAAAATTAGAAAGTATGACACTATATAAATCATGGACTCTATTCTACATCTATCAAAAAAAGGGTTACCCTACCTCCACTCAAAAACAGGACTGGGGAAAAAAAAAAGAAAAAAAAAAATGTTGCTTTATTGGCTTCTATGGCCTCACCTGTCTTCTGGAATGGTGCCTGTGCAAATCCCATATCCTGATGTGGAATGAAAACAGAGCATGTGTACATCTGCCACATGACAGTATTTCTAATGAGGGAGGATGCTGCTCTGTCTCACACAGGAACATCCTTTCCTGACAATCTTGAAAAGACTTTCTCTGACTACCCTTTGGGACAGTGAAATTGCATGTGAAAGCACCTCCACCTGTACTGCCGAGGACGACTGACCAAATATGTACCTGAAAAGTCCAGTCTATGTGACAGCCTTGCCTCTTGAATGCTGACAATCTGTCACATTTCTGTAAGGAACTATTTGTAAGCAGTGCACCTGAGCTGGCACATGTGGTTCACCAGCAACACCAAATTACTACTTTAATTAACCTGACAAACATCCAGAAGACTCAACCAAGTCAGTAAAGGCCTCAAGCTCCACCTGTACACTAAATCTCCAAATGGAGAAGGCATGTGTGGCAGCACTTACAGATGGGGGGAACAGACTGGCTTTGCTTGCATGACCACATCTTTGCGAGCACGGGGGTGACAAAGTATGTAGGCCGGAGTCCCTCACAGAAGGAGGCCATCCCTCGCAGACTGACGGCCGTGTGTGTGGGCCCCGGCCGCAGGTCCCAGCTCTCGGTAGGTGTCAGCCGCTCTCCCACCCTTCCTCCCAGCAGTGTAAGGCACCACCCCCCCCCCCCCACCCCACATTTCCCTCAGGCTACGTCCCATAGCCTGAGCAGCCGTAGCCTTACTGCCCTCTTCCCCGCTCGGCCACGGTCCCTCTCTGCCACCCAGCAGTGGTGGTAACGGCGGAGGAAAGCCCCTTCCCGGCCCCGCTGAATAGAGGCCGCAGCCCCATGGGAGTGAGGAGACCAACCTCAAAGCCAAGCCACCCGCCCGTCTTCCGCCGCCTGGGCGAGCCACGCACTCCCGGCACGCCGGGGGAGGGGAATACCGGCCGACCCTTGCCCTCAAGATGGCACCACCTCCTGCGACCCTTCACCCCGCAGCCCTTGGCTGTTATGGGGCTTGTAGTTCGGCCAGGCTGAGCGGGCGGCAGACTGCAAGTACCGGCATCCCTTGCCTGGGCTGCGCGGTTTATTCTTCCGCAGGTTCCGCGGTCGCCGGTCGGAGTAGTGAGGTTTAGGCTGCTTCAGCCTATTTCGGGAGCGGTTGTCTCACCGTGCAGCCTTTTGGGGGCAGGAGCCGCTTCCGTCATTACCCAGCGACGGGGCTGCTGTTTGCCTGGCGCTGTGCTACGCTGATCGGCGAAGCTTGATTCCTCAGCTTCGTACTGGGACATCTGGAGGTTTGCTCTTGGGGAAAGATGGAGTCTCGGCGGCTGAAGACACCGGGCAGAAGCGCCAGGGAGCACCCATTGCCGCTGTGCCTCTCGGCTCTCCTGCCGAGAAACATAGAAGATAACCATTTGGAGAGAATAAAAGTGTGCTACAAGTGGACTTTTTGAAGGTAGTATTGGGAGATCAAAGCTCTCAAGTGCTTCATGTTGTGTAACCGGTAATTCTCTCAGATGCATTTCATTTTGGGAATTCTCCCAGGTAATTAAATAAGCCACATGTTAACAGCTGACAATACTCTAATGTCATTCTTTTTAACCTCACTGAGGGTAATCAAATACACTTTCCCTGATGGTACTACTTCAGCTGATACAGATGCCATATGGGAAGATGTTGTAATTACTAGAGACAAATCTACAAACAATTCCCCCAGAATACTCAGGCTGCAGTAGATGATAAAGGAAGTTCCATCAGAAACATCGCTGGGGGAACCAGATAGTGTACATAGTGCCCAGGCACTGCTTAGTCAGCAAGACTATCTAAATAGAGGCTCACATATATATAAAAACGGAGTACACCGAGTGTAAAGCGCCAATAGACTTAAATTCAATGGGATGTTAAAATAACTAGCTTTAGATAGAGAACAGACAGTGAAATGGTAAAAACAAAAAGTGTTGAGGAAAAGAAAAAGCATCAGATAAAGCAACTTAAAAATGCTCAGCATTTTATACAGCACATTATGTTTAAGTATTTAATGATTAATATACTAATTACTGTTTAAGTGAGAGGGAAAGAGAGATTATATGTATTACAAAAGTTCAGTGTGTTATAAAAATTCCGTCTTGGCCATGATCTGATTTAATTAATTTTTATTACAATTGATTAATATCGAGAGGCAATAAGCAAGCAGCGCTGGGTGCGCCGGGGAGTCTCCGCTCCACCCAAGACACACACCGAGATTTCTGGGGTACAGTCTCTTATACTCCTCGATCTTGGGTTTCAACCAATCCTGTCATCTCCTTCACCCGAATAGCGACGTGGTTCTTTTTCATTGTTCTCCTCCTGTTGCTGGGATCTTACCTTTGGGTGATGAAACTTCTTAAAAAGTAATTGAATTCCTTGGCAATATATTAACAGGGAATGTCTGTCACAAGCTTAACCACCATCTTAGCCCCCTCAATTCCATTTCTTATATAGTTACATACTGAATACACAAGTTTCACCTCATCCCGTAACAGAAGGTATCCCTTGATTACCTAACCCCCTTAAGGCATTCAAGCAGTTAAACAAAACACCCTCTGTAATTAGCAAAACATTTGAGACATTCAAGTAGTTAAACAAAGTACCCCTTAAAGTAACATAGACTTTGATTAGGAAGGATTATTCCTTTGTTCCTTCTTTTCTTTCATCATTGTATTGACAGGAACTTCCATCTTAATCTGATCATTCATATACATTCTATACATGATTTTCGATTCCTCCCAAAGTGCAATGATGACAAGGACTCCTAAGTTTCTGACACGAATCATTCCTATATACCTCACAATTCCCCCCCTTTTTTTTGGTGCAACTTATTGATTCGTGTCTTGGCCTCCAATTTAATAACTGCCTTTTGAGCAGCGGATAATAATGGAGTCATCTTTGTTTTTAATATCATTAACGAGTGGGTTCATCCCTTATTTTCTGGTTCCAGTGGCATGATGGTTAATTGCATGTTTTGTACAACTGTATGTATCAATCTGGTGAAACATGGGATTATACATGGAATAATTAATAGTCCTCCAAATATTCCCAGTATCACTACAGTGATCCAGTCCTCATTTAAGAATTGTCCCCAAGATCATAATCCTCCTTCCATTCCAGGTTGGTACTGGAGCATGGGCTAACTTTTTCATTTCTCTCACAAGCTCACTTATGGCTTTCCCCTCATCATCTATTTCTAAACAGCAATTACTGAGATTGAATTTTCCACAGATCCCTCCTTCTTGAGCTAGCAAATAATCCAAAGCCAAATGATTCTGGTATATTGCAGTTCTCATTTTAGTATTTTGCTTTGCAACTAGTCCTAATGCATCTCCTGTTTTATTTACTACTATTTCTACTACAGCTTGTAATCTTATAAACCTATTCAGCATATATATAGGAGTCCTGTATCCCCAGGACCCATATTCAGCCCAAGTTGCCGTATCATAGTAAGAAACTATTCGTTCAGGTGGCCACTCATTGTCTTTCCAATTACCAATTTGTAGTTCTCTTCTATATCGTTTTCTCCTTAGTTCACCTGTTGCTATATATAACTGGACTCCCAAGCATTCCCCTCGGCTTATAGGTAATAAAAAGAAACTGGGTCTGATGGTTCCTAATATACATGATCCTGTCCAATTTTGAGGTAAAAATGCAAAGGTTATTTTACCACAGACCCAATAATGTCCATCTGGAGTGGGCCAACCATTTCATATGTTAGTTCCATTAGTCCAGTTACTGAATCACTGATTTATTTCTATAGGATTTCCCCATTTTTCCCAGTCTTTGTTCTGTTCCATATATAACCCCCTTTACAAAGTAAATTTCCTACTGGTTTTCCACCATTTTCTAAATTCTACCAACAACTTTTCCCAATTATATTCGTTTGTAAGATCCATTGTTGTCTCCTATTTTACCCTTTTCGATTTTTCCAGATTGCAGGGTTGCTTATATTACTCTCCATTGCCTCCCAGGGCCATCTCTCCTTTTGGTTAGTTCCCCCACAAACATAGCAGTTAGTTACATTCAATGCTTTAGCTGTATTTTCAGCAAGATTTACAAAGAGATTTTTAGCAACTGTGGGAATTTCATATTGGACTCCTGTTTCTATTTCTTGATAGACAGAATTGAATAATAAGTGGTGTTGCACTGACGCTCTAGATTTTTCCTTAATTACTACTTGTAAAATCACCCCTGGATCTTCTCCAGTTCCATAAATTACTAGTCCAATTTTTACCTCCTCTCATCTCCATTGTCCTGGATTCCAGATAGTTAGATTGACAGGATTACAAGAATGGGCTGTGCAATTGGCAAAAGTTATTCCCTTTCTAATTTTTGCCCTCAATTGGGATCCCTTGCATTCTTGGGGCCATCCCCATGTAGGAGTTATACTCCAATAGGCACAACTCCATCCAGTATGTCCACGAAAATGGTAACTTCTTTTGGATTCATTATCATATTCCCAATCTGCATAACAACCTGTAGGTAAATATGATTTCTCTTTTGGTCGGAGACAAATATATTATTCACCTTCTCTATAATACCTCCTCCAATCCAAGTTTCCACAATTTGAATATAGGTCATCATCAGTAGTGTCACAGGCATCAAAGGTTACTCATACAGGTTGTCTTAGATTAGTTATTATTTGGCTTGTTGCCATTAGTCTTCCTTCTGCTGAGTTTGTTCTTATCTCTATCCAATATTGATAGGGGAGTTTTTTCGGATTAAAACATACCATTTTAGTTCCTTCTTTACAAAGTCCATATTGAGTTTGAATATATATATAGTAGCCAGTTACCATTCCCTTGCATTCATACATGGTGTGATAGAACAGTGTTTGAGAGGTCACTTTTCCTCGTCTAGTTGTAGTAACACATTCACTACAGTTGTTGTTTCTAGCAGCCACGGCAGTTTCCCATACGGGTCTTATCAGGACCAACACCAAAAGAGGTCCGGTCAGGATCATAGTGCTCAGCGGTCACAGCCCCAGGGGTTGCAGCCCTCGGCAGACCTTTTCAGCTGCAACACCTTATTCCCTCCAGTCTTGCCCTCTCTGATAGGTCAGAGGTATATTTTCTGTCGGTTATTTATGGCAATATCATTTGCCTCGAAACAACTGTTCCAATGAGGTGATAATTTTACACCGAATGCAAAAGGACTGTAACTGATTTCTCAAAAATGATTCCTGGTCCTCCCTACAAACAGTAATATACTTTTAACAATTGAAACTCTGAGCCCAGTTATACCTGTATTTCCCTCATCATTTTACAAGAGTCAATATGAATTCCCTCAGTTACTCATTAAGTCCTTTTTAGGGTCAGCTTGATGTCTCCAGGTTCAGTCACGACCCTCCATTATTTTACCGGTCCTTTTACTCGTGATGTGTGTGTCCACCCTTTTTCAGCAGTTCTTATCACCATTTCAGAACACCATAATCATGGATCCAGAGTTGACACCATCCAGTCATTCCCAGAAATGTCCGGATATCATTAACTGTGGATGGTCAAGGTGTTTGGCAGATTGCTTCCTTCTTAGCTGCTCCAAGTTCTGGTTGTCCTTCTGTTATTTTGAATCCTAAATAAGATACTCAAGTTCGAATTAGTTGAGCCTTCAGTTTAGATACCGGGTATCCATTTTAGCCCCAGAAAGTTTAACAATTCTACAGTCTATTGAACACATTCTTTCCCAGTTTTGGTAGCAGTTATCAGGTCGTCCACATACCATAGTTAAGTTCCTGTCTGGGTGGGTGTTTCCCAGAATTCTAATTCTAGTGCCAATTGATTTCCAAACCTGGTCATTCTATTTTTTAAATCCCTGAGGTAACACACTGTTCACGTGAGTTGTGTCATTCTACCTGTTTCAGGGTTTTCCCATTCGAAATCAAATAAATTTTTACTTTCTTTGGCCAGGGGCAGACAGAAAAATGTATCCTTTAAGTCCAGAACGGTAAACCACCCCTGATTAGTATTCAATTTAGTCAATAAGGTATACAGA